CGTTTCTTCTAGGGCTTTCCTTACTTCATCTGTCGTTAGTGTTAGGATGTAGAATCTCTGGACTATTATTTCTCTTAACGTAATAATCCTCGTTGTTTTGAATTTTTCGCAGCTTTCTGTACCACCGCTCCGCCACCTCAACTGTCCAATCCATATTGCTTATGACATTGTATTCCTTGTCCCCAAATGCATACATCCGAGTTTTGCTTATGCGCAAGTTTGCTTTCGCAGATTTTAGGCTTCCATCTCTTTTTCCAGCCTTCTCAATTCTGTCCATGTTATATCTTCTGATGTCGGCTACCTTGCGCCTATTGATTAATTTCGAAAACCCCGCTAGCTCTATATTGTTGGTTGCATTTGGGGCTTTCATAAATTGTCGTCTCTCAATGAAATTTTTCGTTTCCCGAGAGAGTTTGTCAGCGTCCTGTCTAGTGACTGTGCCTCCGACTTCTATTGCACAATTTTGATGATACTAGCAAGGTTATCATTCATTGGGTCAACGCTAACGTCAGTTACCTCGTTTAGAGCCTCCAATCTATTTTGAAGCAAAACTCTGAATTCCTATATTTTTGCTCTCACCCCTAGCACACTAATTGGACTTTTGTGTATGAATTGGTGCCTTTGCTTTTTAAAATTTAGGCGAATATGAGCTCTTACTATTCTATAGCCACTGCACCGGATCTTGCCAACTACCTTTCTACGTCTTGTACAATGCTTGGGTGGGCACACAGAATGAAGGCTGCTTTGTTTTTAGTTGTGGCGTTGGGATTTTGCCACGTCCACCTACGGTTAGCCCGTTTCTTCAAGAAGGTATTTAAGATCCGTAATTTATTCCGTTTTGCTAACTGCACTAATAACTCCCCTCTGGTATTTCTAGAGGCGATGCCACATTCCCCGACTGCATGGTCTCCCGCCTGTTTCTTGCCTATAGTGGCATAAAGTCGCCCGTCAGAATTGTGCACCGTGCCTTTACTTCATCAATGACTGACTCTACGTCTTCATACAAACGTTCAAGCAAATGATCATGATGGTTGATGTAGGTGTGTAGTACTGTACCACTTTCATCTTGTACATTTCGCTAAACTCAATTATGATACTTGCCACCATTTCACTGATGCTATGGTATTCCTCTGTGTTGCCTGCGATATTTTTGTGTATGAGAAACAACACCCATGGCTTTTTTCTGTCAACTAATCCACGGTAGCATAAGACGCGTCCGTTCTTATCACTGTGTAAACCTCACATGTCCACTTAAATTTACTGAGTCCTACTACATCCCATTTCACACCCGCTAATTCCTCGAAGAGCACAGCTAGACTGGAGTCACTAGATAGCGTTCTGCCACTGAACGAAGCCAGGTTAAGATTCCAATGGTGTCATGTCTCGACCCAGAGATTCTTAGCACCCAAAGCAGCGTTGCAGGTCTGACCATAACATTGGACAGTTGCTTCCTTGCCGCTCGGGATTGTAGGCCAAGTACGGCACCAGGGTGGCCAATCCTGCTCTGGTGAGAAAAAGAATTACCGGCAGGTGGTCGCCAGTGGGACCACACCCCAGACTTGCTTTAATTTCTTTTTAAAGATTCCATAAGCACGCGTTCTACGTAAACATGCAATTGAAAATTTTTACGGTATCTTTATTTGAACCGACTTTTTTCATTGTATGCTAGGCTACTACGCAATCTCTAAGTAGAGGGTTCTGTTGGACTTTCTTAGCACTGTAGAACACCACCTTACAGCCTAGGAGCTCTCAACTTCCCATGAATCGCAGATCGCCTGGCCTTTTCTTAGCTGTTTGAAAGCTCATATTTGGTTTATTAGAAAAAACACGGCCGTTTTCAAACTTCTTACCTAAAGAGCATGACTGGATTAGTGCCATATGACCTACAGTCATGTTCCGGAGGGTGTGCTCATCTATCGAGAGGTTAATGTTTCTGATGACCCTTTTACAATGGTGTTCTAGTGCGTCTACATAGGTGGAAATAATGAAAGCTCAGACTTTTGTGTGAGTTTGCAGTATGCCAGTATAAGTGACAGCGTTAGATCTTACCGGAGTCGAAATAGCAAGAAGATTTTGTACCTTCTATGAGTGGACCGTATCATTTGATAATTCTTGGTCGGTTAGCGCCGAGGCCATAGTCAGAGTTCTCGCCAGCAGCACTAAGTCCTCCTAAGAAACGTGAAGGCCTTCGCGGGCCGAAGAATGACCTTATCTGTGCTCTCTTCAGCCGAGGAAGTCTCGAAGCGGCTACGATTTTTCGAACTGTAGAACGGAAGTGGGCGTTGAAGCCTCGCTTGATTGCTGTGGTTGCTGTAGGCTTCGCTGCGATAGCGGCCACTGCGCTCTTTGCGGGATCCCGTTTTTGCCGGAAGCATATGGTGGTGGTCTATCCCGCTCTGTCGAAGTCAACCAGCGGGATATTCATGCCGTGAACTGCCTTCATCTCAGGTCACCTTTTCAGGGGTAATAGAGGCCGTACGAAGCTTGGCGTGTTTGTCACTCGAATTAAGGATGTTGCAGTGTTCATTCTGGTCTTAAGCAGGCGAAGTTTTTCGGTTTTCGAGAAAATCACTTATACCACACCGTACTTAACTTTCATCCACGCATTACAACAACCTGCCATATCCAAAAACTGTGTGACCAACAGACAAATTCTTGTGGGCAACGAAATGTGGTGGTAGGACACTTAACGGTATAATAAATGTATCAAAGTTTGCCGTCGTACTACGACGCGTGCAGGAACTTTTATAGCTATCTATGGCAGTGACCATGCCAACACTTCACTTCTTCACGATGCACGACACCCTGAAAGGCTTCCATAAAATGTAGTTTCTCACTGCAATATGTTCTAAAGCGATCATATTAAAACTTTTTGCCAATGTCGCAAAAAAAAACTGAAATTAAACAGAGAGAACGGAATAGAAGCAGCGCGAAACTTAGAACTGGTTCATTGAGGCATTATTGCTAACAGGGCTGACACAGTGTCCATGTAAGTGTTGCCATGGTATTGGATCCAGTCCTCAGTACTTGGTGTCTTTCTTAAGGGACCCTCACTATCCACCGAGTATGCAGAAAAAAAAGAGCGTTATTCACTACTAGCGTTTTTTGTTGTTCTGGCGCATTTCGTGGCTCAAGAACAGTGATTCACGTGACGTCCTTACAGTACATAGTCTCGATTGGAACATATTGGCAAAATATCAATTGCAAATTATACACACTGCTTTTCCATGCAGCCACTCACCCGTTCTTTCTTGTCTCGCATGACTATCATGCGCAATCAACTGAGTTGGCTTGATTTTGTGTGTTTTCGACTATGCAAGCGGATGTAACAACGTGTAGCTGACAAGTGTGAAATCTTATTGGACTTGATGCGTTGTGCTTACATTGTAAACGCGCTTTGAAACAGTCGCAGTTTCGCCAAAAAGGCGAAGCAATGAATGCGATAGCAACTTACTCGAATCTTTTGTGAAGTAAGGTCAGCATACGATCTCACGTAACTCAAGAAAACGCTGGTGTAAAGGCGCGTTTACAGTCGAGCGGCATGACACTAACATGATTCGGACAAAGACACGAAGCAGACGCAGGCCATTGGCCGACGAGCTACCCGCCAACGAAGTCACCAGACCTCATGGTCACACTAGGCCTCCGACGACGATAACGCCTCAAAAGACAGCACGTCGTCGTAGTGTACCACGATGAAAGATCAAAAAGACCAGCAAAACGCGTCGGCATACCAGTCGTCGGCGTGTCATCGGGAGATCTGCGGCTGAGCGAAAGTTTGCCAATGTCTTGGCTTCAAACGACCACGCTAGGAAAAGTCTTGGGGCAGATAACAATGCCCCCTCCAAGGCTTCCACGGAGTTTGAATAGACATATTGCACACCCCGTGGAAGTCTTTTCTTTCCTTCTTTTTGTGTATCCCCACGCCCGTCTCTCAACGTTATGGCGGGGGCAGTGCCACGTAGCCGGACAAGGAGAATTACAGAGCAAGGAGCATGGCTTAAAATGAGGTGCAGGTGTGCAAGTTTAGTCGATGTCGCTGCGTATGCCTACACTGTGACCACAGAATTAGTGAACGAAAGACTTTGAGCACAACAATGCGTAGACGGAATTTTCCAGAAACCACCGGCGGACTGTTTGCATCGTTGTAGTGCAAATATGACGATGACAACACAAAAGACACTCCCAAATAGAGTAGGCTGACTAAAATTTGTGTCGTGTCTCTCTAGTGTTAACGTGCCTTAAGAGAACACGGCTGCTCCAGTTACTATTTTGGCACTGTTTTTTCATGTTGAGAGCGTAGCCTGTAGACACTTCAGCCAGCAGTGGAAGTACAAGGCGCTCGCTGATCGTTGCCAGGGTATCACGGAAAGCATAAGCCCCCCCCCCCCCCCCTTACCCCCTCTCTTTCGCTCACGAGATAAGCGCGTGCGTATTGGACTCCAGCCGCAAAGGATGGCGATGTTCGCTCCGCAGAAAGAGGGTAGCGCATCCTTCCCCGTATATATATATATATATATATATATATATATATATATATATATATATATATATATATATATATATATATATATATATATATATATATATATATATATATATATATATATATATATATATATATATGCATATACGTTAATGATGGCGGTGGCGGCGCCAATAGTGAAAACCAGTCGGACGGTCCATATAATTCCTAGCGCAATAAAAGTGGCGAGGAGAAGATAGTGCTACAAGGAAGGGTAATGAAGGCGAGGAAAGAAAAAAATGCTTGCTCTTCTTTAAACGTGTGGTGGAGAAGGGCTCTTGAAATATGCTGAAGTTGATTGCATGACGCTTCATTGCCGGTTTATAATTTGCACAGTGATTTGTTCTCAACTGTGTTCTGTTCACCACCAGAAACGAACAATTTTTGCGCGTTTTGTGTGCCTAACACCAGGAATACGAGGATTCAAGAGTGATTTAACATAATTCCACACTCTTGTGTATATTTTATCATATAGGGGAGGTTCTCCTGCCAGTTCACGTAAAGCGTGTTGCTCCCATTGTGGCCTTGACAAGAAACGGAACTTCTGAAGTCCGCCTCGCTGCTGTTGACATCAAATGCGATGAGAACAACGGACGCGGCCTTATGATTTCTTTTGTAAATAGGTAAGTATAAAAACGCACCTTTTTCTTACAGCCGCGTACGTTTGAATTCTTACCAGGTTATGGCCCCGTGATGCGCCTGAAAGCATTTATGAATTTCATCAAGTATTATTTTGCATAATCTGGTAAAAAGAACCTCACTCCGATGAAAGCTAATGTGATGAAAAAAACAGCAGATACAGCAGCCCATTGTCAACCATGAAAGTTCATCCCCGTTGTCATTATTAGCATGACAAAATCTGATGTATACTGCTGGAAGATGTTCTGTACCTCGTGATCTCCAATTCACCCTGTCCGGCACGATACCGTTCTGTTTTAGGCCAAATGACATCTTAACTACACCGTCAAAGGAACCTAGTCCTACTCCATCCTATCGGCTAACTTTGCTACGCATCGCGACACCTGCCCAGCTCCATTTTTTTTCTTGAAGCCTACTAGCATATAGGCTACCCGTTAGCTTTGCCAACCACTCTGCTGCCACCCTTGTCTTAAGTTCTGTCTATCACTCTCTGTGCCGTCGCACGCTGCGAGGTTCTTAACTTCTACAGTTTTAATGTTTTTCTCTGAGTCCTTGCTCTATACGTTCATACTGTTACCATTTATAAATATACCTAGCCATCCCATTCATAAATATACTCCAGTGACCTAGTGCCCATATCAGTCGCACGAGAGTAAAGTTCGCTGGGATCAAATATTTAAATGAATTTTAGTACGGCTGATTCTGATGATGATGATAAGAATCAACACAAGAATAGCTAATAATTCGCTATCACAGTTGCCGATTGGGTCACTCGAAGTTTTGTAATAGTTAGAATATTAGCCGTGCATTCCGCTTCAAATATGGGTGTACTATCTGGGAGGCCTAATAAGAATGACCAGGATAATGAGTGGGAAAAAATGCCTACACCTTCCTTCTCGTCACTTATAGATGCATTTGTTGCAATTACAGTATTAGGTGCTAATTGAGACAAGTGTTCTCTTAGTAAGCCAATCAAATGCTTAGAGGGCAAATGTTTAACATTAAGTGGAAAGATATCATCGAGTTTGATTCGCAAGGTGCCGATCGGTTTGTCTGATTGAATAATCTCGTATACAATAACATCTAAAGCGTCTGCTAGGGTCTGAACAAACAACACTTAAGGTTTGTATAGACGGGCCCAGTGCTCATAAAAAAAATTAGCAGATCCCACGTACCTAGACATCGACGTTATGCGAAGCATGCGGAGGGAAGGTGACCTTGTTACAATTTTTTTATTAGAAACACGTCGTGAAATGACGCTAAATACATATACAAAAGTGGCACGCACAGACATATGTTCAAGAGTTTAAGATGTTAATATAACTCGTTGTTTGCACTTGCGCAACGATGCCAACTAGAACTTGCGTATGGGCAACAGCAGAAGCTGATATGAAGCGCTGATGCTCGCGAAGATGCTGGTCCTGGACACTGCTGTACATAAAGAAACTTCAGTGCATGGCAAAAAAAAATCACAATTGACGTAAATCCGACGCGACGGCTGCATCAAAGAAGTACATATGTAATGTTTATAAAATTGGGTAGGCAGCTCTGCTACCACTATGAACGTTTTAGAAAGATTAGCGTCTATTTGAAAAGTGCTTCCGAGACTTGGCGTAGACTTGTGCTAAAATACTTCATTGCCGCACAGAATGCTTGGGTTCGATTCCAGCTGGGACCCTGACATTTATTATTTGTATTCGTCCGGTTGACGCTACCGATGTCGGGGATTTCTTAATGCTCGCGCGGGAAAATTGCCTGTATGTGTTCTCGTCGTTCCGGGGTTGGTACTAAGTGTCCATCACTTGTGGCACATACCCGCATACCAGCGGCACATACCCGTCCGTGGGTACGTTCCATTGTTTGGCGGGAAGTGTTTGAGGATGTACGTGATGAGATCGTGACATGATTCATGTCTTGACTAGCGCGTCATATTCGTCAAACCGTCTTACCCTCCCATGCTTTTTTTTTTGGTTCACACCAAGTTAAGGAGGTGACCACCAGAGCACCCAACCATCGTGACATGATTCATGTCTTGACTAGCGCGTCATATTTGTCAAACCGTCTTACCCTTCCAAGTTTTTCTAGTTCACACCAAGTTAAGGAGGTGACCACGAGAGCACCCAACCGTAAGCGGCTATGTAGATAGATAAACAGATACGCTCAAAGTCGTGGAAGTTCACCAAGAAATGCTTCGCATGGAAAAAATTACAGGGTTCGGCAAAAAATATGAACTGCCGCCTTATCTAAGTAGATTGAGATATTTTTAACTAAATTTCAACTTTTAAAATATAAAATCTGCACACAAAGGTGGGTAATCGAGCTTCTTAACACAAAACGTTGTTAGCCATCAATTCTGGCACACCTAAACCACTGCGTAGAGCTTCCTGCTCTAAAAGAATTAGGGGGTTAATCTTGTAAGTTGGTTCACCAGATAGAATACTCAATTAAACTCGATAATTGGGTGACCATACATGCGGTAAATTATGATCAGGGTATCCCTGCGGAGACTGGAATGGAGGTGGCCAAGTCTGTTTATTATCACACATGCGCGTGTAGCGTAAATTTTATTATGTTCAATGTGATTACACCAGCTCAGTTTTTCACCACACAGAACGCCCAGATATTTCATACAGTGAACTTAGCGAATTCTTTCGTGCTGATATTGAAGGGAAATATTGACGGACATCTCCGAAGAAAAAAAAACTATTATAGCGCTTTTAGTAACGTTTACTTTCATAAAAATATCTTGAAACCAGGTTTTGAACGTTGATAAAACGACCATAATCTTGGGTGTAGTAAATGAATGTTGCCGTCAGACACGAAAAACGCAATGTCATCTTCACATACATGTACTTTTACCTTCACGCGCAGTGGTATTGAGCGTAACAAGATGTTAAAACAAGTGGGAGAACCAAGCCCTGAAGAAGACTTCTAGTTTGGCTCTAATTCAAGGTAGATACAGCCCGCTGGAAGCAATAAACTTTTCTGCCTTGTGAAAATTCATACCTTCCATTTGTGATAAAATGCGGAAAATTTAAGTCTTTTAGGGTATTAATGAGAATAACATGCTTAAGCAACACGATGAAACTGCGTGGGACACTAAATAGTGCACAAAGTCTTAATTATAACATAAGACGTTGCTGTTTCAGAAGAAACTGCATACACAAGACTGCCGGTAAAATGATTAGAAATAATGATTGTTTTCCGAAAAAACCCGCAGCACAAAGACACTGCTGCATTTTTAAAACCACCTAGGTGCAACGCGTCTTATGGAGTTGCAGCAGCCATTAGTTCAACTAGACGGCTTCCGCTGCTTTCTGAGCCTTTTGGTTTCGTCTTTTTTCTTACCCAGTGGCCATGCTTACGTAGTCTTGGAGGCAAAAGGGTTCGCTTGCCACGTCTAAACTGTCGCTTTCTCACCGCGTGACCGAACGTTACTCTCAATGTTTTTAGGAACAAAAACGTTGAGCAAAACAAGAATACGTTAATTTGTTTAAAATGACTAACCTCAGTTATCCTGTTCTAAACGCAGGTCCCAACAGACAAATGATGACATTCCAGAGCATATTAAACACAAGATCATTGAAGGTGAGCGTATGTATATATGCAAAGTATGTATATATTTCCTGAAAAGTGTGTAAAATTTTCCTGCCTAATAATTTAATATATGAAAATAACTTTTTTTCATTTGGAACGAGCGCTATATAGAGAATGAGCGTCTATAAGTAAATAGCTTGCCAACTAAGTGAAGGAACGGTGAGCTGGTGCAAAATAAAGCGCGCTTGCTTGAGAATACACATTTTTAGAAAATCAACCTTTTCTAACTATGAAATTAGAAAAATAAGAATTACAGTTGTTCTGAAGTCCGACTGACATATCAAACATGACATTAGTTTTAGTAGCTTGAGGCAATTCTCAATGTCGGGCCGCCATCAATAAGAAAGTGTGAAGCAATCGTTTGGAGTAGATCGCTATTTTAAAATATGTTTCTGATGTCATTGCCTGATCACTGCAAAAATTTGGGTTGACTATTGGAAATACGCCTACTCCGTTACTTGTCCTTTAGTGTACCGGTCTACTTGTTCGGTGAAAGTGTTCTTTCAGTCTGTACTGCCTATAAGTACTCTAACAAGCGCTCATTTTCTGACATTGCGCAGATGACCAGGTACCTAAAGTATGTCCTCTTGTTTCTGACATCCCGGACCCGTGCAGCAAAATGCTTGAACTGACCGGAGGAAAAGGCTCATCGCTAGCAGTGCTGGACTCCATCGCCACAGAGTTCAAAACGGTGCGCCGTTGTACAGACATTGGCTACTTGCTGGTTATAAAGCTTGCTTTCCTCGATTGTCAAGAGTTGATTAACAGTTATGAGGAGGGGGAGGGGCAATACAGTGGGACAAAAGATATGAAAGCACAAACGCAATGAGAATGGCGGTTCGTTTCGAAGTGCTACGACAATGGTGAAGGTGCTTTTACAAGTTAACGCTCATAGGTTATGGCCTTGAACATTTAGAAGCTGTAAAATCAATAATTGTAATCCTCATTCCTAGCACACTTAGCAAGCAGACAACAAATATTTTTAGTAGTGAGAGTGTGACAGAGAACAAAGGCAAATGAAAGTAATATCTGGCACTGCCTATCGATAGGTAGCTACAAACCTTCAAGATACTAAATCTTAAGTAAGCTAGAGACAAATATGCTTACGGTCCCGTTGTTTGGGACGTATTTACAATAGTAATCACTGACAAGTTAGGACCACTTTGAAATTGAGGGACGCGAAGGACGAAACAGGACTTCGTAGAGGCTGCTCGATATGAGTCTGCAATAACATGGTCCGTTATGTAGTAGAGAAGGCTATGGGATATAACCAAACCAAATATGTAGCCTCCATATATAACAAAAAAGCATTTGACACTGCCGAAACACTACATGTCATCCACCCAATACAAAGCCAGGGTGAAGACCAATCGTATATAAAAATACCGGAAGATATGTACAGTGACTTCGTAACCTCCATTGTCATCTGTGAAGGAAGCAATGAAATTTAAATGAAGAAAGGCGTAAGGCAGAGAGATATGATCTTACAAATGCTGTTCACTGCTTGGACACAAGAGTTTTACAAATTCATGGATTGCAAATAGCAGAAAATAATTGAGAGATTGATTGATATGTGAGATTTAACGTCCTAAAACTGCCATAGGATTATGAGAGGTGCTGTAGTGGATGGCTCCGGAAATTTCGACCGCCTGGGGTTCTTTACCCTGCGCCCAAATATGAGCCCACGGGCCTACAGCATTTCTGCCTTCATCGGAAATGCAGCTGTCGCAGCCAGGATTCGATCCCGCGACCTGCGGGTGAGCAGCCGAGTACCTTAGCCCCTTTATTATCGCGGCGGAGCAAGCAGAGAATAAAAAAATATACGTGAGAGTACATGCGACACTTTATGCGACAATAGTAACCACTTTACGTGATCATTATATTCAGACTACATGAAAATGGCAACGTTCAAAATTCTCGATTTAAGATTTCATGAGGATACGACGTTCTGTAAAAATCTGCGTAAGTGAATATTTCATGAACCGGCTGTAGACAAAAAGATGCAACCGTATTAGGGGTAATGCGTGTCGTGCGCCGACCTTCGAATGAAGGTTATGCTTATCTTTCTAAGTCACTGCTATAGGTTCCACCTGGCCTTGTGCGCGGAGGCAAATAGCGGAACGTGCTTATTTCTGTGTATCACTTATCTCCTTTCGTACAACAACCACCTCACACACTTCGTTTCGACAGTTTTTGTGCTTAATAATATGCCCGAAGGATTATCAGCATAATATTTTTTATGGAACAGCATCCAGTTTGTACCATATCATACATTTATTATAATACATGTCATCTGTAAAACAACATTTGTGCCACTGTTAGCAATCTTCACTGCAGTCAAAATAATATCGATTCATACCTAACGTGCACGTCACGAATGACATGCACGTTATGAAGGAAACAAGTGGCAATTTGAAGGTCTCGTTTTTAATAAGAAATAATATTGATGACTACCAACAGGCAATAACACAGCCCTTTCCGTGACAATATTGTTTGCCCGTTCTCTATATCACTATGCATGTTATCAGCGTGACACGAAAGTTTTGAGATAAAACTAGCCAGCACCGAGTCTTCAAGGAAGAGAACGCAAACAGGCCAGTTTGCGATTATTGTTTTGGGACAAAGAAACGTACGGCGTTCCTCGTCATCACAGCTTTGTTTTAGCATGTAAGACCTTCGCGATTTTTTAGAAATCAGGCTACTATGTAGGTGCCACAGAGTAAGCACGCCAGGTGAGGCCCAAGCCTTTCTTCAGAATTTTTTTTGCCATAGCATTGAGGGCCAATTAAGTAACAAAGTAATTAAGTTCAACCATCCATCCATCCATAGATAGCGACAGATACGCATATAAATGGGATGCCTCCCCCCTCCTCTTCTTCAAAAAAAAAAAAAAACATTCCGGCTACGCCTCGGAGGTGCACGAATTTATAAGTTGCGATTTTGTAGCTTGGTTCAGTGGATACATGAAGAACACATTCCTCCGGGTGTGTACCCCAGGCTGTGTGAGATTGGGTGAATGTGAAATACTTGACTCCTTGCTAATTAACTGCTCTCAGTTATGTTTTTCATAGTTTGTAATGATGAGTTTCATGCGTATTCAGCGCAGTAAATAACCGTTTGTGTTCAGTTTTCAGTACCACGTGGATTCATCGTAACGACCAAGTCGTACGAACTTTTTTCTACGAAGGAAGAACTTGCTAAGCTGGTCCAGCAGATTGAGGTTGCAAGAAACCGGTGAGTTTTTTTCTCCATGGCGAACGAATCAGTGTCTCAAAAGAAAAATAGGCAAATATAATTTTGTTCGAAAGGTCATATCCAGCGGGATGTACGTTTTTCTGCTAGAGATTCTTGGTTACTCTGTGCTCATGAAGGAATGGTTTTATGATTTATATTATTATGGCGAAAAGAAATAGAAAATATAAGCTTTCTTGCGTCCAAGTTCCAACTTGCACAGTTTCAACAAACTTTCAGTGGTGTCATGCATTTGTTAATTGCCAATTTCTAGTAGTGTCATAACGTCGCACTATACAGAATGAATGCAAGGAATACCAATAAATGTACACCTTGCATTCCTCATAATAACTGTGGGAGCAAAGAGATAACCTAAGTAAATTGTGGAATCTTTACTTTTTGATAACCACGACGTTACTAGAAGTAAGCGTGTGGTTAGCAAAATGAGGCCAAAAGCAAAATGATCACGGAAAACTAAAGGAGAGTCATATAACCATAATTAGTAATTCGACTGATGTTGGTTGCGACCGCCCTATATATTTAAAAATCTTTTCCAGAGAAGACGGGCAAACAGCGCTGAAAGAAGCGTGCTCCAGGTAAGTATTATATACTTTTTAGACACTATAAAGCGTCAGTTTGGACAGGATGGTGATGTGAATATTTAATAGAAGAGGATTAAATTATCAGCAGCGATCACAGATCGATTGAGGAAAACACACGCGCGCAGACGTGCACATGCACTGCACTAAATTGCACTCGCTCACTCACTCATCAGAGAAAAAGCATACGTTTTGAAGTCTACAGGCAATCATTATGTCAATGTGTACGTACATTTGACCTAAAATGTCTTTCCAAATTGGAGCATATGTTGGACGAAAAGCGCTGCAGCCATAAAATGATAAAGTAAATGTTACCTTGGCGGGAGGCAGCAGAATTGTTTTGGTTGCCATCCCTTCATTTTTTTATTGTTCGCAGCATCTTCATTTTGCGCAGGGTTGTGGATGCTATTGAAGCAATGGAGATACCAACAGAAATAGCCGAAGAAATTTTCCATCGCGTCTCGACCTTTCCTAACTACACGGCATTTGCTGTCCGTTCTTCAGCTGTAGGTAAGGTTTTAAACGTACAGGAACATATAAACTGTATCCCTATTCATGCATTTAAGGGTGCGCTTCCAATACAGGTGAAGACTCGGAGGACATGTCAGCCGCCGGTCAAATGACAACACTGCTTGGTGTGCGAGGCCACGAAAACGTAATAACGCTGATCTTTTTTAAACGTCAGCTACTTTGACTTGCAACAATCTTACATCTGTAATTTTACTTTGAAGGTCGTTCGCGCTGTGGTGAAATGCTGGGCATCGCAGTACAGCTTCACAAACGTGAACTACAAAAGGTGAGCTTTAGTTACGAGCTGTGAGGCAAAGAAACAGTTCCTTTATTTTCTGTTATTCATACAAATGTTTAATTTGCTGATTGGGCAGGTTTTTATTAGGCACAGTAGTGCAACAAGCACCTGATTAGAAAGCAATGTTTCATAGCAAAAAAAAAAAAAAAACTAGCTTCGGTTTCGGAGTGAAGTGCTTGATAATGTTCAAAGTACCAATAATTCCTTAGGCGTACAGTTTGCATCATGAGGCTTTTAATTATTAGGGCACGAATGTAGAAACATTATAGTCAAGATTGTGATTTTATAGGTGCTCACATGCGCACATATGCATACATCAGCGGTTCCTACATGATTTCAGCAACCAGGCCGGACTCTTGAAATCTAATCTAAAAAGCGGGAAGATAGGGATAGTGAAGATGAGTTCGGGGGTGGACTCCCTCAAGCCCCGCATTCCATATGGCGTAATAAATAAATAAAGATCAAATCAAACCTAGGTTGGAGCGTAGGGGGGGGGTGAGATGTTATGATTGCAGTTCTGCAGAATGACTAAAATTTTGATCAAGCGTTTCTGTTTTACCGTGATGTATGAACATATAGTGGTCGAATGAGGTACTTTAGAATAAAAAATGCTTGAAGCCAGTTTTATCTCTGTGCCTCCTCTACTTCAAACAAAGCGTTATAATGGCAACAGGCAAAAAATAATGCGAATACCATTCCAAATGTTACAATAGTTTGTTCATTGAAAACCGCGGGCTTCAAGCGGGCCACGGATAAGGTGTCTGAGAACCATGATCTGAACGAAGATTGCACGACTTTTTCAAGAACGCCGGGAATCAACGTTTAATGTTGGTAAAATACAAGAACATCTCTGCATGTTAAAATGAAAATTTAGCGCAAAATCTTCTATTAAGTTCAAGATTCGCTCACATGCCTGGGAAGATTTGGCTGGGTGAATCAAGTTTAACGTATGACGCCGTTGTCTCAAACTCACAGGGTCGTAGCCATATATCTTACATATAGATCATTTCTCAAGATAATTTGGAGTTGGGGTTCTGGTAAGATATTGATACTGATCTCTAGAATAACTCTATTATGGATGCCAAAAAGCTTCTCCAGTCTCCGTGGCTCGCCCGAACAACGCGCTATAGTCGCAATAGGGTAGTAATTAATGCGAATACTACTTAAAACATCACGAATACTTTATTCATATTGAAATCGCGGACTGCAAACGAAATGACCGGAGGCTGCATGCAGAACTGCATGTAAGGCGTTTGGCTTAGTTACTTTCCATTACTAAGCTATTGCTCTGTGCTGTTGAACTCCGAGAAGAGCAACACTATCTTTAAATAGGACAGAAAGAAAAGGCGAACTTACTTAATGTGACTTAATTTATAACTCTGTAAAGCCTATCGTTTAAACCACGACGTGTGACTGCTTCAACCACTGCATCTATTCTGCCAGCAACACGCATGTTTGTGAGCATTGTTCCACAGCTTCAGGTGGCATCACGCAGGCAATACGGACAGCCTCTGGACATGCCGATGGCAGTGGTGGTGCAGGAACTCGTGGACGCAACCGCGGCAGGTGTCATGTTCACGTGCGATCCGCTCACCGGGAGCCCATCGTACATCACCGTGACTGCCAACTACGGAATCGGAGAAGTAAAGGGATCATCACATTTTGTGTTTTCTGTCTTTCTACACAATTTTATATGATAATTATTATCTTTCATAAAAGTTGGAGTTGATCACGTGATGACTGACATCAATAATTTCGTGTGAGTGCTAGAATGACGATTGGTGCGTATGTAGTGGAAGCAGCGAGTATGGCATGTTGTTAATGTCAGTTGAAGGTGGGGTACACTTGCAATTTTATTGTCTGGCGAAATTTTCACACCGCCAGCCCTCACAATGATGTGTGACATTTGGCGACTGAATAACTTTAATGAAAGTCCGATAACGTATAAAGACGGAGACAACAAAGATGTTCGAGTCGTACATTTTCAGAGTGAGTCGAACCGAGAAAGTCAGACTGGTCATATGTTCATGGAACGCGAGGCACAGCTGTGTTCAGCACTTTTTAAAATGTATCTCATAAAAATTAGCTACAGGCGTACCTCGATGAACCAGGCCCTAGTTAATCAATTAAAATGATTCCAAACTTATGTTGTTGAAATTCAGAATGAGCGCACTGTGGTCACATGTCATGAAAGAAGCGTGAAAACAACAATAAATATCGACATTCTCGCCAACTCCCATCTGTTACAGTCGACATAGATTATGTTTTAAGGTGGCGCATTAGAATAGATTCCAGCTTGGTACTTTTCAGCGTGCGTGGCGCAAGCCTATTCCTAAGTTTCGCGTGCACATTCGACAGGTCTATGCCTGTAACAACGTTGGTACAATGACTCATCAGATCCCCCTCTATTACTTCCGTCTTCTGCTGTTTGTCCTTTTCCTCTTGAGACATGATAAAGCAGCAAGCAGGATGCACCTTTTTCCAGGCCTACCTCCCCAGCCTTTTCTTTATAAAAGTTTACCTTCTTATTATTGCGACGGTGAAACATGGACACTTTCAACGGGCCTTCATCGCAACGTCGGCGTCGCTGTTGTCGTCAGCATCCTGTTAGGTAAAAAAGCACAACTTCATAGCATGCTCCAGCACATCGTGTATTTTACATGCGGTAAGTGCGTTGGAGCGGGAGCGTAAACGCGGCTGAAGCAGCGATGAAACGAGCCAGTCATCGCTCGGAGGGCGCATGCGGTAAGGTTCGCCGCGCGTTGAGCGGCCGTCGAATGCCAAAGCAGAGAACAAACGTCCCGTCCGTCTTTAACAAGTATGAAGGGACATGTCCTGCTGAAGCAGCAGCTGTGAACTTTGGTTCTGAGGCTACAGTCGCGACCGCTGATGCGCGCAATCTTGACAGACGTCAGCGCTGGGCTCGTATGCGCTTCTACATGCGATGCCTTCAAAGTGAAGAGACGGTGAGAAAATAACACGACTCTATGCAGCAGTCGAATGGTCTGAGACTAGAGTTTTCATGAGTCAAGTGATATGGGATCCACAAGAGTTAGCTGCCAGCCTGACTGTGTGTAACATTACCATTTGTTGCTATCGCATTCATGGCTTCTCCTTTGCGGGAAAACTGTAATTATTTATTGTTGATATGCAATACTCTTGAAATTGTGCAGTCTGTCGTATCAGCATCAGCAGACCCGGACACCTTCATTCTTAGAAAAACGGGAGATAAAATTGCTACCATCGAGTCAAGGCAAATAGGTCATAAGTCCGTCTTCACAGCTGTTTCCGGTGAGTACAAATACCGATATAATTAAGGATTCATTCTAAATAACAAGTAGGTGTTGAAACACTGCTCGTCACTTCTATCACAGTCCTATAAATGAGCATCTCAAAAAAGTAGCAAAATTTGTTCTTGTGTAGCCAGGGTCGCTTCCACTAAGACCTTCGTGCCATGTGCCAAAATCTAATGCTATCATCTTTCATTTCCAGGAAGAAAACTTGCTAAAGTCTCCACAAGTGTTTTATATCATTCAACCCCTCTTGAAATAGTCCCGTCTTTCAAATCAGTGGGGGCGCACTTCTCAAAAATTATGCTGTGGGACGACCATGGTAACCACACTCTCTTAAGAGCATTCCGCATCGCTGGACTCCTTATGCGGCACATGACCCTAGTGCCTCAAAAATTAAAATTAATGTTGTATAACTCTCTATTTCACTCCCACTTAAACTACTGCGCCCTTATATGGGCCACAACTACTATATCAAATCTACAAAGAATATCAGTTGTGCAAAACGGCTACTAAGAGCAGTCTATAGACGGCCTTGTGGGCGTACAACAAGAAATATATTGGTGCAGTTTGACAACCTCAATTTCTTTAAATTATAACACTACGCACTACTATGAAGGTGTAAAGTAGTTTAAAAAACACACCAGGACAGCTTACGTTGTCGCACCTCTTTGAGATTATTTCAGTGTCACTACCCACACCACCACCAAACACACTGGATAATATCGCCTACCCACACCAACTAGGGACGGCAGATGCACCACTATCAGTTACCACCCATATTCAATTAGCTCATTGATGAACATATTCGTTTTCCGGAAATCAATAAGTTTGAATATGCAAAATTTCAGCACAGAGAAATCGATAACGGCTCATCTTCACCGACATCACCCCACAGCAGTTGACAGTTCATATTTTTTGTTCTCTTTTAATCACGAAATTTATATGTGCGTAGTTACGTACAGATATTTTTGTGTGTAACTGCATGCTCGCGCATTTTTGTGTACAAAGAGTTATTGATGCATCTGTATGATTGAAGAGCGAGTGGTAATGCTGTGCGCATGTTTTTGTTTTTTATGCTTTGCTTTTCTCACGTTAGTTTAAATCACTGTAATCACTCTACTGTGCACACGTATAGACCTGTTTGTGTGTGCGCGTGCGTGAGTGTGCTCCGTTGCATGGGAGTGGGAACTCCGTCGTACAAATTGTCTCACCCTCCCTTTCATCTTTATTTCTTGTACTGATCAAAGTTTCAAAGTTTATTTGCAGGAAAATACAAAAACTTCCCTGCGGGAGGCAAGGACTAAAGGCTAAATAGCCTGACGAGGTCTTGACCTCCTGATACAGTCTGCATCAGTGCCATATTACACATATTCACACATCAGTAACATACATATACAAATAAGTGACATTATACATATCTTATTTAGTTACATAGTATACATTCAGAATATGTTTTACATAAACAGGAAACAATTTTGGTATCAAACGATTCTGTTTAAGTATCATTGTTCACAGTAAGAAAAAAAATCAACTCAGTATACAAGTATTCCTAAATATAAAAGCCTATGGATCTACTATGTCTTTAGTCAAAAGAAGAAAGGATTTATGATGACATTTAAATTGTTTAGTTTTCAGAGTAAAGTCTATATTCGATTCGTGAAGGTTTAGCAATTGTATGATCTTATAATCAATAGCCTGCTTGCCATAGTTCGTGCGTGTTTTCTTAGTTTTGCGGGTAGAATTTCTGAAGCCATATGTTGTTGATACAGTGCGTGGAAAGGAATCCTGTAGTTTATGTTTGTGGATGTGTTGCATCAGTTTAAGATTATATACTTTCCTAGCAGATAGAATTCCATGTTTAAGAAAAAGCGGCTGAGTGTCTAAGTCCTTGGGGTGACCTTTATATTTTTCTATTACACGGAGCGCGCGCTTTTGCAAGATTAATATTCGATCGTAATTGGTCTTAGTTGTTGTTCCCCATACAAGCATTCCGTATAGAAGCTTGGAGTAAAACATGCTATAATATAATGATTTACATAACCATGAAGGGAGGAGGAAAGCAATTTTACTCAAGCACCCTACAGAACGAGCTAGATCTACCAAGAGACTATTTACGTGCGGTGTCCATGTTAAGTGCTCATGAAACCAGACTCCAAGGAATTTTTGTGTGCTGACTTGTTCGAGTCGCTGATTGTCAAACAAGATTACTATATTATCACTGATGTGCTTGTTAATGGGCCTGAACATAATAAATTTTGTTTTTTGTGTGTTTAATTTTAGTTTGTTTTTTGTTAGCCAGCCTGAAAGTTTCGAGAGATATACATTTGTCGAAGCTTCTACTTCCTGAATGGTGGAGCCTGTGAAGAATATACTTGTGTCGTCAGCGAACATTTTAATTTCGGGTGTATACTGAACCTCTGTAATATCATTTATATATAAAAGGAAAAGCACGGGGCCTAAAATGGACCCCTGCGGAACTCCTTTCTTTACGCTTAAATAGTCTGACTTTTTACTGTCTATGCTAACAAATTGTTGTCTGGATGATAAATAGCTTTTAAATAAATCAGAGACTATTCCACGAATTTCATAGCGGCTTAATTTCAACAGTAAGATATTATGGTCAACAGAATCGAACGCTTTACGCAAGTCAAGGAAGACACCTAACGTGAACATTTTATTTTCAATATTTTCTATTATGCGGCTTTTTACATCAATTAGTGCCTCTTCCGTGGTTTTATTTTTGCGAAAACCATATTGATGCGGTGATAAGATATTGTACTTCTCAAGATATTTCATAAGGCGCGTATTTATACATTTTTCATAAATTTTTGAGAATACAGGTAATACGGATATCGGACGATAGTTTGTTAATTCAGTAGTGTTGCCACCTTTATGAATGGGTGTAACTTTGGCCACCTTAAGTTTTGTTGGAAAGATTCCAATAAGAAAGGAATAATTTACCAGATATGCTAATACGGGGCTAAGTATAGATGCGACAGCTTTAACTGGAGCCATCCTTACGTCATCATAACCACTCGCAACGTTTGTCTTTAGTTCTTTTATATATCGGTAGACTTCCTCGGGTAATACTTCGTGTAGTACGAGAGAGTTCATGCAACTACTTGTTTCATCTTCATATTGTGTTGAGTCTTCATCATAAACAGCCACATTTACAAAGTATTGGTTAATTGCGTTTGCCAGTTCCTTACCCTCCAGAATGATATTGTTGACTTTTACTTGTTTAGGTGTATTTGACGTTGCTGTTCTCCCAGTTAAGGAAATAACTTGTTTCCATATTTTTGCCGGTTCTGATTTTATACGTGCTTGATTCGTTTCAGGAGGTCACTGTTTATCCATGGTTTTCTGTTCTTACCCTTTCGTGTTCTGATCTGTTGTATCGGGAAAGCAATATCGTAGCACTCAAGGAAAATAGCTAGGAAAGTATTATATGCGCTATCTGGGTTGCATTGCACATACACAGGTGATAAAATAAAAGAAATATATGATAAAATAAAAGAAATATTATTATTATCATTCGGTTCATCACACTATTTCTTTAAAAAAATCACTTAGCTGCACAACATAAAGTGTGTTTAGAAGCCCTTCTCTGATTTTTGATCACAACACTTTGCCTTAAGAGCTTGAATTACATTGAGAACGCTTAAATGAATGTAAGCCAAAATGCCCAGAAATCAAGGCAAAAAGAACATTCCCTTGCTGCCTTTATAACCGTTTTCGCTTTTTGAAACTATAAAAGTGGCAAACGACTGATGTTGCAAAGAGCTCGCATGCTCTCATTGAACATGACCGTCTGTATCCACTAATTAACGAGTCCCTCCATTTACATTATTCAGTTACTGTTATACGCAGTGTCTCTGCAATGTTAACATGTCTAAAGCTAAAGAGGAGTTGTAAAGGGAGGAAACAAACATCCCAATTCCCTTATTTCTGATGATTTTCAGGCACATTTCTTGAAACATTTCATAGGTGTTTATGCGAAACCCCACCTTAGAGGGACCCGGTCTTCATCCTGGTATCCTGCATGTTCAGACCGACTATTTTTTGACATCCGCACAATCTATTACAGAGAGTGGCGACGTGGCTACAGTGCCACTCAGTTCGGAGAAGGCCCAGAGCTTGTGCATGAACGACAAAGACATCGAGGAACTGGCAGTTATTGGCATGCAGGTATGTCATGGTTTAACGAGGCCGCTTTCGTACATCACTTGCACCCAGTTCGGAACGTAGTGTATTACGTACTGTCCGAAATTGCTTTTAATGACCTAGAGATAGTGCACAGAATTCAGTCCTTTGACGATGTTCGTTTTAAGTATCAGCGCGAAGATTCCTTTCTTGGAAGGGTATACATGTCAATTGCCCTTCAGATAGACGCAGAACTTTGGGGATTGGCGTAAAGCTCTACGCGTCCGCTATCACATGCCTAGGTAATGGTCACACTCCGTTTAAGTAGCGCGATTGTTATAGTGCTTGGCTACTCGCCCGCAGTTCACGGTCTGGATCCTGGCCGCGGCGGTCGTCTTTCGATGGAGGTAAATCGTTGAGGGCCGTGTAGCTCTTGGCGCTAGCGGCTGTTGATGAGCCTATGGTGGTCGAAACTTTTGGAGCCCTCCAGTATGGTGTGCCTCATAACCACATTTTGGCTTTGGCACGTAAAATGACAGATCTTACTACTACTACTACTACTACTACTACTACTACTACTACTACTACTACTACTACTACTACTACTACTACTACTAGTACTACTACTACTACTACTACTACTACTACTACTACTACTATTACTACACAAAAAGAGCAACAATAATGTCAAAAACAACAACAGTTATTATCATTATTGAATCTAGCGATAAGTGTTTGTTGTACGTTCCATTTTTCACCTCAACCGATCGAATAATTGCGTACGCAGTTTCTTAAGCGGGTGGATAGACTAAACTACCTCGAAAACGTAAAAGGGCGTTTTCGTCTATATGCGTGTTATTTTCTCCTGGAATTTCCCGTCTTGTCAGCACAATTCGCGATGCCACGAGAAAACGAGAAGACAGGCTTCCTACTGGTCCATATACAAAGGATATTGGCAGTAAATTGTCGCCTAGCCTGCACTGCCACTCAGTCGAATACCCGGCTGCCTCGTCTTGTATGACCATCGTGAACGAAGAACTGAGTTCCCTTCGTTTTGGGCATTTTAGACTACGCAAATTGGAAAACCAGCGTGTGGCCGAAAAACGCGGAATCCCAATGTCCCAATCTGTCATGAATAAATGAGGGAGCGAGGATGAGATAGCGCCTGTAGGGACGGTAGTGAAGGTGGAAAAGGAATCGCTGTGTCATCCTTGAACTTGAACTTGTTTAGGGGCTGTTTAAGGTGCAAAGACATGCCTATGTACTGTGAGACTGCGCCTATTGACTCCGCATTGCCTAGCTGTCAGCCGTACAACCCCTGTGCTCTCATCTCACATTGCTCGTTGCCCGATTGCGCGGCACTTGTTTTTTAAGCGCGAAGTGCAGCTAGTGGCGGGAGTGACGTGTATTTTTATGTAAGGGCTGGCAGCCGAAAATTGACGACCAACTGGTTATAAAAGAATGCTTGTGCCTATTGAAACGGAGTCGGCCAGAGTGGAACAAGATGTGCGTCTCCTTTCTCGAATGAGGGGGCGGACAGTGGCCGGGACAGGGGAGACCCATGCACGTGTCAGCCATCTGACTAACTCGACAGTTGCGACGAAACGTCGAAGCAGGAGCGTTGACAGGCATCGCTAGGCCATCAAGAGACGGCAGTGAGAATGTAAGGGGGAGATAGCCTTAACACCCTGCCGGTCGAGCATTTCGTGCAGATGCTTAACCAGCGAAGCGCAAACACGTGGCCCCGGTGTTTATCATGGGCTTTGATCCACTTAGGCGCCTGGTGTTGTAGCTTTTGATTTATCGATCACTATCTTTAAGAAATATGCACTTCATTGCATTTTGTGGTTTTAGCTTAAGGGATGTTAAGCATAACTAAAAGCTTTTTAGGCGTGGCACTTTATGCCATGGTTGGTATGATCCCAAACTACATGCGCTAACGAAATCTAAAGAGAAGCTTTGCAGATGCGCAGACTGCATGCAGGTTGCTGAAGAGTCTTTGCACTTGCACGCGGAATGATGAAAATTCTGAAAGGATGCTAAGCGCAATTTCCAAGTGTTTGGTGTGAAAGTGTCTCTAGCGCTTGTGTATGCTGGTTGAATAAGCTTTCCTCAGACTGCAGGGCATGACCGGACGCATCCGGTCACCACATATATGAGCCTACAAAGGCTTTTATCTTCGAAGTTCAGAGTCCTCTAAATGACCGTGGAAAAATATTACAATGTCATGCGTAACAGGCCTGAAGAACACGCGTTGTTGCACAACAAGGAACGGAACGTGGTAGTTATTGAGTTGAGGTCACGGAGGACCTCGCATGCAGTCTCGAGGGAACGGACATGGCAAACAGAAGAGGGCAAATGTTTTCACAAATAATTTCCTGTCGTGAACTCACTCAGAACTCGCAGCTGTATAGTTGTCATGTTTGTACGAGGTTCAATAGTTCTTTGCATATTTTTTCACACAGATTGAGAAGACGCACACAATACCTCAGGACATCGAGTGGGCACTCAGCGATGGAAAGTTTTTCTTGTTGCAAGTAAGAAAACAGTATCTTGGTTCCCTGTATAGAGGCGACTTCGGGCAAGCAGTCTACGCTTACCTATGCTATTGTTTGCAGTCTCGGCCTGTGACAACATTCCTCAGAGAGACGGACAGCGAATTGATTCACGAATTTGACAACGGCTTGAAGTCAGCAAAAGAAATTCTCACAAAAGGGAACATGAGGTAGCCGTTCAAAATTTTCAGTATTATGCACGCTTTATGGGAACTTTTGAAGAGCGTCTTTGAATAAAGCGTATCGTCTCTATGGATTATTTCAAAGCTGCATTTACAAACAGATGTGAACACCGAATTCTGAGATCGCTCGATGATTGCTTCTCTGTCACAGTGGAGACCGCTTGGACACTGCAGTGTGTACGCCAAAACACCATGCGTGTTGCATTTAGTAGAATATATATGCGGATCCAACGAGTCGGACCTAATTTCTGGCAATTAACAGCTTTTCTTCCTCCTTTTTGCCGTGACCGTTCTCTGGGTTGCGCATTATAGATGATGCGGCATTCACGGGTGTGTGCTTGAAGACTACGCTTTAAAAATTGGTAGAGAGATGCTATGGAGACTGAAAAGATATCGGTCAATTGTGCTGAAATGCACTTACTGCACACGAGTGCAGTAATTGATTTAGGGTACTTACTACTGCTGTGGAAAGCACTTAATCCACTTGTGTGAACCAACTCGCCCAATCGCTGTACTTGTCCTCACAACATTGCCCTGCAAACTTGTGCTTCATCGTTATCGTCATTGTCGGTTTGTTTTAATATATATACGTATTCTGCAGGGAGAAGTCTTGAACCAATTATCTTCAGTTTATGCTATCCTCTAGAAATTCGGGCTATGCTTTACCATCTAACGTTCCTCATTATTCGGTTGCGTTTCAAATCCCTCGGTAACCGTTCTACTGCTGTTTTTACGGTCATGGTGAATAACACCAAATTGTCAAAATTTGTTGATGCCTCCCCTGCTTCGTCCCTCATAATCATATCTTGGTTCTGGGTCGTAAAACGCTGAAATGTATTATTGTAAGAAAAGCACAACGCATAAGCTCATACCAGTTTTATGCAACAGCGACCCGCAACGCTGCAACCCACAACAGCTCTATCATATGAATTAAAATTCACAGCATTGCATACTGCAACTTTTTCAACATCGCATAGAAATATTCAAAATCATGGGGCAGCATACATGCTACTTATCATTGCAAAGTGCAGATAATATTATCTGAACATTGTTACACAGAACAATGAGAGGTTTGTTCCGTCTACTTGTCCCGCCTTTTGTGCCGGTGTACTTACTGTTTTGTCATTGTTATGCCTCAGTTATCATTGTTTTCAATGGGAGGCTTTTGGTACTTTGACGATATTATTCTTTTTTTCAGCGAAGTGCTTCCGGGAGCAATGCCACCCCTCACTTTAACTTTCCTGCGTGCTGCGTTTGACGTTTACTGCAGGGTACGTCTTCATGCAAGCTCTTTCTCATTATGCGTAGCTACCGCATAAAGGAGCCAGGGAACAGCTCCTTTAGGAGAGATAGAATAACACTACTAATATGACTACATTGCTCCGCGAATCTGTGGCCGCAAAGTCTTTACCAATATGTCTAGTATAACTTATCAAGGGAAAATAATCACAATAAGATCAATCTTTGAAATTCGACGACTGCGGCGAACGCAATTTTCTTGTCTCGGAAGTTTTGCGCCGATACCATCGTGACCTATATTAACGTGCGCAATGTGAGCTGGACCACCCAATTCATGTTTGTTCCACAGTTGCTTTTATTATACTCACACCAATGTGACAAGCGGACTGCGAGAAGAGAATTTTCGCACCAAAAGCGGAGTGCGACAAGTTAATTTTCGAACCTAATTGAAGGTATATAGAATAGGAAAAACCCCGAATCGAATTCGTATACCATTCAAACATTCTTCGAATAGTTTTCGAATAATAAGAGATTCTGCTTCAAAGAGTCCTACTATATACAACATTTTATTTTGAGCAAGTATTCATATTCAACAAAGAGTATCACTGTTACGTGTAACCAACTCAAACATTCGCCATTATGAAAATGAAAGTAACCTCGTATATAGAAGTGACCAAAGCAGTCGCAATACTTTTTCACACTAGGCTTGAATAGGGCAGGACTACAGTAACACAGCTGATTCCTTGTCACCTGTTTTTAAATAAATTTGAGTCATGAAAACTAAACAAGGTCGAACCGAAAAGAACGACTACTAATTACAATGTAATGCAAGAAATAAAGTTGTCCTCACAATATCGCCTTCGGACCCAAAGCATGTAACCATCAGTGTTGATCGCTTTATCTCTATAAAGTTACGTCCATACAACAGTTGTGTCTGTTGTGACTTGTGAAGTCGAGTGTATTGGCAGTGCCCGCATTCAATTGTTCCAACATGAAGACGGGAACGAGGCGGCTGCAGGATTGTAAAAAGAGGGTTTTCTAAAAAAATTTGGCAGATCTCTAGCAGAGTGGGAATCAATAATATATTAAGCACGGATGAGGAAGGCTGATATGTCACTTTAAATACAGCACAACGTCACGAGGCGGAGGTAAATATTGTTGTACATAATTTCCATGTCTTGATTATGGTGTTTGGACGTGTCAGTTACCTTTGTCATTCATTTACATTACCTGATACCAAATTTGGTGTATGCGAAGCTAGCAAAAAAGCCGCGAGCGTGCTATGAGCGTAGCATGTAGTCCAGTGTCACATGACATGCTTTGCATTATTATCAAGTTTGAGCGTGTCATTCCCTTTCGTCGTCTATTCACGCCATGTAATACTAAATTTGGTATATTTCGAGCTAGCAAAACGACCGCGAGTGCGCTATGAGCGTAGCTTGTAGTCGTGTACTACATGACACGCACATCATGATTATCATGTTTGGACGTGGCATTTATATTCGTCGTCCATTCAGGTCACGTAATACCACATTGCGTATATGTGTACCTAGTGAAATGGCCATGAGCACACTATGAGCGAAGCATTTATTCATGTTTTACATGACATGCATACCATGATTATCATGTTCGGACATGTCATTTATCATCTGGAGGCGGAAATGTTGTAGGCCCGTGTGCTCAGATTTGGGTGCACGTTAAAGAACCCCAGGTGGTCAAAATTTCCGGAGCCCTCCACTACGGCGTCTCTCATAATCAAATGGTGGTTTTGGGACGTTAAACCCCACAAATCAATCAATCAATCATGTCATTTATCATCGTCACCTATTCACGTCACGCGATACGAAATTTGGTATATGTGGAGCTAGCGAAACAGCCACGAGAGCATCATGAGCGTGGTATGTGGTCATGTTCAGTTATGACACGCGTGTCAAGATTATAATGTTTGCACCAGTCATATAGCTTCGTCATCCATTGATGTCATGTATCACCGAAATTGGTATATGTGAAGCTAGCGAAACAACCACAAGCGCTCCATGAACGTAGCATGTAGCCATGTTTTATACATCACGCATGTCATGATTATCATGTTTGGACGTGTCATTTACCTACGTCATCCGTTTGCGTCATGTACTACCAAGTTTGGTATATGTGGAGCTAGCGGAACTGCCGGAAGCGCATAATGAGCGTGGCATGGAGTCATGTTGTTACAAGACAAGCATCTCCTGATAATCATTTTTGCACCAGTCACATAGCTTCATCATCCATTCCCGTCCCGCAGTACCAAATGTGGTATATGTGAAGCTAGCGAAACGGCCGCGAGTAAACCGTGAGTGCGGCATGGAGTCATGTTGTTACATGACAAGCATGTCATGATTTTCGTGTTAGGGTCTGTCACTTGTGTTCGCCATGCAATGATGCAACACCACACCAGTTTTGGAACATGTCATGTGAACGAAACCCCTGCAAGAGCAGCAGGACTATGAAATAAAAATCATGACATTCGTGACAAACTTGTCATAATTTTCATGACTAGTCATTTATGCTCGTCATACAGTTAGCAAAGTCAGGTGCTAGGCAAGCCGTTTTTTCATGACTGGAAAGAATTGCTCTCGATTGCTGCGGAAAACGAAGTGAGGGAGGAGACAAACTGTCCACTTTTATTTTTGTCTCCTCCCTAACTTCATTTTCCGCAGCGGTTGTAGCGCGAACGTTTCCAGTCGTCATACAGTCATGTTCTGCGATACCAATTTTGATATCGGTAGCATTATTAAAACGGCCAGGAAAGCTAAAAGTTGTAGGCGGCTAGATAAATAGATACGCTTTAAGTCGCTGAAATTCGCTAAGAAATGCTACGCATTTAAAAGGTCTTCGTTTGGGAATGGCTGTAGCTTATGAAGTCTCGTAAAAGCTTCGGTCGCATGCACATTGGTAATTTCGTGATTAAAACTCGAAAATAGACGTTTACCTTTGAAAAGCTTTATTGCTTGATGATTTTCCAGTCGGTGCTGATTTTGCGAAATCTTTTCGAAAAATATTTGGTATTTCTGACATATATTATACAATCCCAGAGCAGAATCGAATATAATCTAATCGTGCATTAAACGTCATGCACACATCAACGCTTGCTGGCAGCGTTCAGCCGCCACGGCCTGCTCATCGACAATGTCAGTAGACATAGATTCTAAATGAATAAGCGAATGGCATTGTCTGGTCCGGGACGTCAATTTGGTAACCAAGTCTTCTTTTTCTGTAATCTATACCGTATAGCGCATTAGCGCCCTCCCCGCCCCCTCTACCTTGAAAGAAAAAAATTAATATCAAACTGATTTTTCGCCGAGCGAGGGAGACAGAAACAGAGAAATAAAATTTATTTGCAACCATCAAGAATGACGGGTAAGCAGCGACCTCTGCTCCCGTTGATCCCCCCAGCCATCGGCTACAATTTTCGGGACTCGGCAGTGGTCAGGGCGAGACCGATGATTTTGCGTTATTCTTCGGCGTCGTGACTGCGGAATAAGGCTGCAATAGCGCGAACACACTCCCACAAAAGAGGCGACACGAACACACAGTCACTGGGTGTCCGTGTCTTCTCTCTTGAGGTTCGCGCTGTTGCTCCATCGCTCTACTATGAACCAACTCACCCAAGGAGAAGTCTCAATGATTTTTCGGAGCCGGCCAGCTGTTCCAGCAGTAGCGTCCGGGAACGCTAGAGAGACGAAACTAGTAGAAAAGCCACAGCAGCAAAACACAGCAGTTTAGAATGAGTCACTGAGGGATACTTTGCACCTTGCCAAATCATTTGATCTGGGAGAAGCTGGTACGACGGAGTCAGAAACTAGGCGCACGTGATCGTCCCGGCGGCTGCTGCGGTGTACGCACTTTTCCCACGAGTTCCTGCACACTTGTTTGTGGCACTCGCGTGCTTGTTTGAAAGAGGTGTGTTCCGGTACGCAAGTGGGCCTTTCTCGTGCTATTTTCAATATTATTGGTGCACCTATAGTAAAAGTAAAAACAAGCGGTAAATATGAAGTTACAAAATGTTTACTTGGAAGCTTTTCAAACTAATCTACTTTGTCATGAGAATTTCGTGCGTAGTTTCATCTTTAGGTCAACAATTACTAATGTAGCCTGATTAAGTGATTAAGCTTAAGAAGAAAAGTAGTGTGAGACGCTCCATGCCATAGTCAGCATCATGCACTCGGTCACGTTGTCGTAAAGTGTGATTAAAAATTTTCAAACTCTGCGTATACAGAGCTTGCTGGAAGCAATTATGCGCGTGTTTCGAACTTCCTATGGTCACACTATGTCAGACACTACGTGGCCTTATTGTATCAGTAATGGGCGTGTCTTTTGTAATGGATGACTGCCTATAAACCACAAAGTTGTTATTATGAGCACATGTTCTTACGCCCGATGGCAACACACTCTTGCACCACGCACTACTGCGATATTACGTGTTTTATTTTGAGGCCAGTATACAAGACACGTGTGTTTGCAAAAATATGAACGTTATATACGCAAAGGATTTCGTAGCGAACTTTGGCGACTCTGACCATGAATGTCCATCTGTCTATCTATATATTTATCTAGCTGCTTACGACTTTTAGCTCTCCTGGCCAATAGGTGACCAGTAGAAGAGCGAGGGATTGTGGGATGCATCGTCTGCTTCCGGCTTCCGGTTCGAGAAGAGTAGACGACGGTGAACCGCTTCGCCGAAAGCCTCAGATTATTCAGGATTCGGGCGCGCGGTCGCCCTTTTATCTTCGTCCTGATAAACCATGGTCGGTTGTTCAGCCGTTGGCTGCTCCAACTCGAGCGTGAAAGGCCAACGCAGGTATCAATTCTCATGTAATACAGACAGAAAAACGAGCTGGGTTGTGACTGTGCAGAGAACCACAGTGACAGGTAGTCTTTGAGTATGGAACTTTGAAGCCAGAGTCTGCGAAAACCATTTTATCACAGGTACATGTGTATTCCACACTAAAAAAGCATACGCATGAGTTTGCTGTGAATATTATATAGAGAAAAAAATTGCCGCGCAGGTGCACCTAGCAAAGATGTTATGGGAACGAACGGGCGAAATCTACCTGCCATACGAGATTAGCGCCGGTCATTGCACCCATATATAAGAGAAAAAACACGAAAGCTTCACTCAATAGTAAGTTTACACGAAGCGCTGAACGAGTTCATTTGCATTTATCGTGGTCAAACTCTGCATCAGGATGGCACCCAAAAGAAGAAGTGTGGTAAAAAAGCGCAGGGTTTTGATTATTCGGCGCCGTCTATGTCTGACTGTATTGTTTATGTGCTGCCGTGCCGCGCAGCTTGACAAAGATCAGCATTGAAATAAGAATTTGGCTTCGACTAAAAATGCATCTTATAGCGTGCTGAACGCTAGAAAAAAAATATCTCAATGCGTTCAATAAGCGCTGCGTTTCATGCCGATCGACCGACGATGTCGGCGGAAGCAGCGATCCCGAAATGAACTTTTAGCACACCGCTACAGTCATCACCATCCCCTGAGATCTTTCAAATGGTGACTTTTTATCTGCAGTAACGTATCATACAATGAAAACTGTTTTTTTTTTGTATCGACTGATCTGCTAACCAAACTGACGGTACCCCGGAGCAGCATAAAAGCATCGCAGATGAATTCGGAGCGATAAAAAAAGCTTCCTGACTGTTCATGGCTTTCGTAGCTTGTCATCGTCGCAGTCACCGTACGCAAAAAAAAAAAACAACTTCTAAAGCATTGACATTGCATGAAGAGGTGCATTTTAACGGATTAGTACAAAAATGTGCGCGTGCCGCTGCTGACCTGTGTGGAGCGTCGAACCGGAAGCCGTCGTATCTCACAGTTCCCTGCGATTGCCCATTTTACCGGTCACCTATTCGATAATGGGCTTTGTACCAAAATCGGTTTGGGATAACATGACTGTATTACGAGCATAAGTAACTAGTCATAACATGAAATTCGTGACATGTATGTCATGAGTGTCATTATATACATGTCATGGTCTTGCTGCTGTTGTGGTGGTTTCATTTACATGGCATATTGCAAAACTGGTATGGTATGACATGACTGCATGGCGAACACAATTGACAGATCCTAACGCGGAAATCATGACATGCATGTCATGCAAGTTATGACTACACGCCACGCTCACAGTGCGCTGGCGGTCGTATCGCTAGCTTCATGCGTTGCAAATTTGGTATTACGGGCCTTCAATGGACGACGGGATATATGATTGGTGCAAACATAATATTCCCGAGATGCGTGTCACGTAAGAACATGACAACATGCCACGCTGATCATGCGCTTGCAGTCGTTTCGCTATAGCTTCACATACACCAAATTCGGTATTACGTGACTTGAAAGCACGGTGAACACAAATGCGAGGCGCAAACATCACAATCATGACATAGAAGTCATGAACGGCATAATAATCTTCCTCATTCGTGTTTAGAATATCATTAATTTGCACTGTCAATTTTTTTAAAAGGTGCTTAACGAACTCTTATTGCAACTTGCACCGACGGGGTTTTTCGGGGCATTCTCGAGTGGTCATAGGTGCAGCTGAGTCTACTGGCGTGGGGAAACTTTATTCTTTGAAGAATGGCTAACTCTTGTGCTTATGCCCAGGACGGCGCCATGCGGTTCTCATATGCTTTCAACCCTGACCAGACGCAGTACGCCCCAATATTTATGCCCATGCATCGCTACACCTTCTTCTTGTGGTTGTCCGACGTGAGTATACAATATGAAAGGAATGTTTTTTGAAAAACACCTAAACGTGTATTTTCCTGATACCTTTTATTTTCGCTCATGTATTCAAAAAGTAGCCGCGGTGTGTACACGATCACCTTGCTGATTATTTTTAAAACTTTGATATGGTGGCGTCGTGAACGCAAACTGTACCAATAGTTGTGATTTTAATTAGAGTGTGAGCACAGTCACTGGCTATTCATGGTCGGCTGGACGTGTCTTGATCATTTGTACAACTTACTCATCTGTATATATCATCACGAGGGTGTGTCAGCTCGAGCTCGTCTCGTGTAAAGTGATTTCCTCATATAAGGTGTTACGATGCGAAAAAGCTAGTACATATTTAAGTGAATTCAAGAGAAACGTATTGTAGCGTAATCAGGGATAAAGTGAACAAAAAGGGAATCACTTGAATGAGATGCCATTGAAGAATAAATCAAGCGAATGAGCTGTCAGTCCTGATTGAAAGAAGTGACGTAATTGTAAACCAACGTGGAGTTATGTAAGAAAAGAGCGAAAGCAATGCAGTGAAGGCACCTGGTAGCAGATAGGCGTCAATTTGGGTGTTTCTTTTGCATTAGCTGAAAGACTTGTTGTATTTTCTTTGGCCACTATATTTAAAGTGGAAAGCGTAACCCAGCTGAAACTCTCCACGGCCGAACGGCCTTTAGCTTCACTCCGCTATTCTGTGTGCTTCTGCGGAAATAAAACCGCTCATTAAAATATTTCTGGCGGAACTGCACACACACCTTAAGGGCATGCAAGATACTTGCCGTGTAGGAAGAGTCACTTGAAAGTGATGCAGGATTTCGTAGGAGAACCAGGTCGTCTTGTAAAAAGTACCGTCACTTTCGCGTGCCTTGGCATTTGGTCTCTTGCCCCGCCGTGGTGGTCTAGTGGCTAAGGTACTGCGCTGCTGACCCGCAGGTCGCGGGATCGAATCCCGGCTGCATTTTCGATGGAGGCGGAAATGTTGTAAGCCCGTGTGCTTAGATTTGGGTGCACGTTAAAGAACGCCAGGTGGTCGAAATTTGCTGAGATCTCCACTACGGCGTCTCTCATAATCAAAACGGTTTCGGGACGTTAAACCCCACATATCAATCATTTGGTGTCTTGAATGTAGATGGCCAGAAGAAGGTCAGGTCAATGTTTTATATGCGTGTTCTCAATGCTTAACTGCTCAGTGAACTTTTCGCCTTCGTTTGCCTTTGAAGCAGCCTCATGAATGATTCCAGTGAAAAGTTACACGACAGCCACAATCAGGTTTGTGATTGCGGTTAAAGCATTTTCGGGTGTTACCTGGTTGGAAGCAATAGCCACGCTGTCATTTTCATAGGCGCAGGAATACTTCAAGAGCACTTGGAACTCGTCCTTTTGATTACTCTCGTACAGAGGAAAGGCCACTGTGGGAGGGTCACTGTCGCACTTTTTTACGAAATATGTTCCCAGCCTCCTATGAGGCCGAACACACTCGCACAAGTTCATCACATTCCAGGGTCAACGTAGGACAGGATCGGACGCAAGTCTCATGGACAGGGTATTCTTGCACAGTATACTCGGACGTGACACAAACGATGACGTGAAGGATGCTGTAAGACGAGTCCGGAAGCTGGACATGTGGAAGCTTCCGATGCACTTGTACTACTTGGCAGAGGTGAGAATTACTTAAATAAAGCTTGTAAACAAACGAAAAAAAGTGGCTGATCCCCCTACAGAGAAATCGTTTTAACACGAAAGTGAAACATGCCTTTACAGAGGTAACAGAGCATTTATAGTGCATTGTTTATCAACAGTACCGAATTTCTAAGTCACTTCAAGAACGGCAAAAAGCTCGAAACTTCTAGCGCATGCCTCAAACATAAAGTACGCACGAAATAAGCATACACAGGATGAGCACAGCCTAACCACTGACACTGCTCGACACAGAGCGCGCTATTCAAGCGGAAAGAAATACGCACAAAACGAGCGAAGTATACACCGGACAAGCGCGAACAACTGCCACAATTCTTCTTGTGTCGTGCGTCAGCAGCGTGCGCGTTTTGTAAATGTGCCAGCGGCAACGTACAAGCTCACTTACGTCCTCACCCGAATTACGAGTCTGATAAGCACGCGCGCAGGAGTGACCACGCTCCATGGAGGCGGCGCTTCCTGGAGGCGATGACGTTCAGAGCGCGCCAAACTCGAGAATGTCACGCCATTTTGCCACTGATTACAAAAACACTCTAAAACTTCGAAGCTCTGAGGACGGCTAAACGGTGTACGCTGTATATAAATTGCTTGCTGTATATAAATGGCGTTCCCGACAACGCACACTCCAAGGCGCTGGGAATCGAGAGCTTGCTGGTTCGATTCCACGCGACAAATGCTTGCCTACGTTTTTTTTTGCAATTTCTTCTATTTCTTATTATATATTTTTCAATGTCACTTCCGTAACGTTGGAAGTACGTCAGCAGAGCCGTGGTGGACCACGGCCTAAAACATTTTCTTGTTTAAAAAAGAAAGAGGGTAGGCTTCAACTAGTTTTTTTTATCAAATAATTGTTATTTATTTGGGATGATACCCAATGAAAAGAAACGCGTTCAGTAATGAAAATTAGAGTAAGCAAAAACCATGCTCCTTTACTGAACTCGTGAGGCTATGCGCTGCCATGTTGCAAGGGGGATTAAGCGTGACTGTAGCAACAGGATAAAAGAAAATAACATGGTATACGAGAAAAAATTTAAACTATCAGAGCGTTGAGGCAGCGGAGAACAACACGTTGGCTATGAATCATGCGAGCATGCCCTCCATTGCTTTCTCAACAAAGAAGGCGCTTTTGTATTAGCCTTATTTATGTGATTAAGACAAGTGATGTATGTCTTCGTGATGTATATTTTTTGTGCCGTTTGCTATTCTATTTGTTTTCGTACTTGCTGACGTCACGTTCCCTTCATATTTTACGCCGCATTTCTGCGACATGTTACAGTTGCAAGTTAGTGCTTTGTCCATTTTACTAGTCCATTTTCTTTTTCTGCATCGACTCCGTGCAGTTGGCCTTTGGCTTTTACGACACAGCAACAGTAACTTCTATGCAGAACGCACAGCTATCTAGAAGGTTATGCATCCCGACAAGCTATTCAAACATATTCCGTTTTTTCTGTTTTTATTCTTTTTTCACACGCGCAGTACACTTGTACATGTGCTAAACTCATTTTTCTAGTGTAAATCACATGCCGTACTGCTCCCTAAGTGCCTCCTGTTACATATTTTCCCTGGTTACGTTTCGTCTTGCAGGTGCTGCTTACAGTTACATGTGGTGTGGAGGAGCACTCGAGGCAAAGTACAAAGCTCCGTCTTTCAGTCAATGACATGATGACAGCAGCGCAGGTGTACGACTACATTGGACGCAACATACACCATCTTCGCAAGGTATGAACAAAAGAACTCCCTGAGGAACGGACTCGCACGAATGCAGCGTGACTTAAACGAAGAGAGGAGACATATAAAAGCGACGAGCGCCAACTGACAACTGATTTTATTTGCCAATCAATAACTTAGACGTTGAAGTTTACACTTCAACGTTTAAGACAAGCTTCATCTGTCCAAGTATGTGCGAACTTGCCCAAGCCAAAAGAGCAAAACAGATGAAAGCAAAATACGGGGAGATTAACCTGGTAGGAGAACAGCCACGAAAAAGGATAAACAGAGAAACAAATAAAACAACTAAAGAGAAATTGAGGACCATCACCCCGAGGGGAACCTTGAGAGGATACGGAGGGGCAGCGTTGCACACGGGTGGCGTCTCGGGTTGAAAGATTCTTTTGAAGCGATGGCTGGGGTAATTCTTGTAGGTGAGACATGTACATACGTATTTGAACGCGTACGTTAGGCGTGCGTCAGGTTTATTGGGCGTGAACCATCGAGTGGGTGGTACGTGTAGCGAACTGTGGTCACGGCAGGTGTTGCGGGTGATTGGACGAGGCGGCAGCTGCTGGCGCCGCGGTGAGCGAGTGCCAGGCGAGGAAAAGAGTTACGTCAGCACGCACTGAAAGGGGAGCGTGCCGTCAACGAGCAGCAATGGTGTGACTCACTTGGCACCACGCGAACACCTGCGGCACGCGTTGCGTTCATACGGAGGAAGAGCGTTACGCAGGCTAGAAAAGGAGCTGCTTCGTATTAAAAATAATATACGTGCACACTGCGAATTCATGTAAGACATTTTGATTGGAGTCATTTCCATAGACCAGTTCAACGCAGAAAGCGCAGGAGTACCTGCACGGGCTTCTTTTGCGACGTACGGTACTGTGTGTGGCGCAAGATTTTTAATGCGAAGCATTTCTTAGTGAACTTTGGCGACATCGACCATATTTGTCTATCTGTCTATCTGTATATCTAACCCCCTAAGACTTATAGCTCTTTTAGCCATTTCGATAATGGTATATATGTCAAAATTGGTAGAGCATTACTTGATTATGACGAGTTTAAGCGACTAGTCATAACATGAAAATCATGACATGTATCTTATGAATGTCATGGTTTATAGGTCGTGATCTCTCTGCTGTTGTGGTGGTTTCGTTAAAAAGATCTATTGAAAAACTGGTATAGTATGATATGACTGCATGGCGAACATAAGTGAATGGCCCTAACGTGGACATACGGGCATGCATGTCATGCAAGTCAGGACTACACGCCATGCTCATGGTGCGCTCGTGGTCGTTTCGCTAGCGGCACATAAAACAAATTTATTTTACGTAACATGAGTAAAGGATGAATGTGTATGACTGGTGGAAACATGATAACTATGGCTTGCTTGTCATGTGAGAACATGACGGCATGCTACGCTCATGATGCTTTCGCGTCCATTTCACTAGCTTCACATTGTAGAGGTTTCTAGGCTGCGGCTAGCCAGAGGAACCCTCAGAGAAGAGGCTGAGACCGACAGAAATCAAGTTTATTGAATAGAAGCCGGGCCGCAACTGCCCGTTGCCAGCGGCTACTGCGTGCTGTGAGCGCACCCGCGATCAGCGTCTCCTCTTAACCTACGATCCGCGCGCTCGTGGTCGCCGCTCCTTTCCCTTTGGCGAAAGTGGAGAGAGGGGCGTGCTGCTGTAGCTGCTAGCCCTGGGAACAACGGACCACACTGGGCACACAAGACGACATGCCGGCACAGTAAATCCGCACAGAGGAGCCAAGTCTGCAGTCACCGGTAGACGAGGCACACCGGACTCGCTCAGGTTGACGACCACGGACATCGGCGAGAGTGCATCATGCTACGCTCGTGACGCGCTCGTGGGCGTTTTGATAGCTTCACATATACCAACTTTCGTATTACAAGACGCGAATAAACAAGGGAGTTATATTACTAGTACAAACGTAATAATCATAACATGCGTCTCATGTAACCACATGACTGCATGCCATGCTCATGAAGCGCTCGCGGATGTTTCGCAAGCTTCGCATATACCAAATTCGGTATTTTCATGACATTTTGTTTTCTTCAGCTTTGGGTTATATACAAATACTGTTAACTCATCACTTCTTGCATCTGCGTCTATAGTCCAGTTCGCGCCAGCCTCAAATTTAGAGAAGCAAATCATCATCATCATCAGCACCAGCCTGACTACGTCCACTGCAGGGCAAAGGCCTCTCCCATGTTCCGCCAGTTAACTCGGTCCTGTGCTTGCTGCTACCAATTTATACCCGCAAACTCCTTAATCTCATCTGCCCACATAACCTTCTGTCTCCCGCTAACCCGCTTGCCTTCTCTGGGAATCCAGTTAGTTACCCTTAATGACCAGCGGTTATCCTGCCTACGCGCGATATGCCCGGCCCATGTCCATTTCCTCTTCTTGATTTCAACTATGATATCTTTAACCCCCGTTTGTTCCCTAATCCACTCTGCTCTCTTCTTATCTCGTAAAATTACACCTCCCATTATTCTTTCCATTGCTCGCTGCGTCGTCCTCAATCTAAGCTGAACCCTCTTTGTAAGTCTCCAGGTTTCTGCTTCGTAGCTAAGTACGAGCAAGGTTCAGCTGTTATATACCTTCCTCTTGAGGAATAGTAACAATCTACCTGTCATAATTTGAGATTGCTTGCCAAATGTGCTCCACCCCATTGTTATTCTTCTAGTTACTTCAATCTCGTGGTTCGGCTCCACGGTTAATACCTGTCCTAAGTAGACATATTCTTCTACAACTGGAAGGGCACTATTACCTACCTCGAAGAGCTGCTCACTTCCGAGGTTGTTGTACATGACTTTAGTTTTCTGCAGGTTAATTTTAAGACCCACCTTTCTGCTCTCCTTGTCCGACTCCGTAATCATGAGTTGCAATTCATCCCCGGAGTTACTTAGCAATGCAATGTCATCGGTGAAGTGCAGGTGACTAAGGTACTCTGCATTAACTCTTATCCCTAACTGTTCCCATTCTAGGCTTCTGAAAACCTCCTGTAAGCACGCGGTATATAGCATTGGGGAGATTGTATCCGCCTGCCTTACACCTTTCTTGATTGGTATTCTGTTGCTTTCTTTGTGAAGCACTATGGTAGCAGTTTATCCCCTGTGGATTTCTTCCAGGATGTTTATGTATGCTTCACCGACGCCATGATTCCACGGTGTCTGCATGAATGCTGATATTTCTACTGAATCAAACGCCTTCTCGTAATAAATGAAGGCTATGTACAGTGGTTGGCTATATTCTGAGCATTTCTCTATTACCTGATTGATAGTATGAATGTGGTGGATTGTTAAGTAGCCTGTTCTAAATCCTGCTTGTTCCTTTGGTTGATTGAATTCTAATGTTTTCTTTACTCTGTTAGCAATTACCTTTGTAAATAGCTTGTATATTACAGAGAGCAAGCTGATCTGCCTCTAATTCTTCAAGTCCTTGTCATTTCCTTTCTCATGTGTTAAGATGATGTAAGCATTCTTCCAAAACTCTGGTACTCTTCCCGTCAGGAGACACCTCGTAAACAGGGTAGCTAGTTTTTTCGAACACAATCTGTCCTGTATCATTAAGCAGATCTGACGTTACCTGGTCCTCACCGGCATATTTACCTCTTTGCATGCTCTCCAAGGCTTTTCTGGCTTCTTCTATCATTACTGGTGGGATGTCCCCTGGGTGACTGCTAGTTCTTATAGTATTAAGGTCGGGGTTGTCCCGGCTACTGTACAGATATATGTACACCTCCTCCGCTATTTTAACTATCCTATCCATATTGGTAGTTATTTATCCTTCTTTGTCCCTTTGTGCATACATCCGATTTTTGCCTATCCCAAGTTTCCTCTTCACTGCTTTGACGCTTTTTCCGTTTTTTCAGATCGTGTTCGATTCTCTCCATATTATACATACCTTCTTACATCGCTTACCTTACGCCTATTAATCAACTTCGAAAGCTCTGCCAGTTCTATTTTGTCTGTTCTACTTGACACTTTCATGATTTGACGGTTCCTAATGAGATTCTTCATTTCATCGGAAAGCTTGCCAGTGTACTCTCTAACTACCCTGCCTCCAACTTCCACTGCACACTCCGTAATGATACTCGTCAGATTATCATTCATTGTATCTACGCTAATATTGGTTTCCTCACTAAGAGTCGAGTACCCGTTCTGAAGCGAGAATCTGAATTCCTGTACTTTCCCTCTCAGTGCCAGCTCATTGATTGGCTTCTTGCGTATCAGTTTATGTTGTTCCTTCTTCAAGTCTAGGCGAATTCGAGACCGTACAATTCTATGATCACTGCTTCGTACCTTGCCAACCACTTCCAAGTCCTGCACGATGCCTGGGTGTGCACTGATTAAAAAGTCTATTTCGTTCTTATTTTCGTCATTAGGGCTCCTCCATGTCCACTGCATATAGAAGATATTCAAAATCTGTAAAGTATTGCGTACTGCGAATTGTACTAGTAGCTCTCCTCTGGCGTTTCTAGTACCGACGCCATAATCTCTTACGGCCTGGTCTCCAGCTTACTTCTTCGGTACCTTTGCATTAAAGTCTCCCATGAGTATAGTATGCTGTGTTTTTACCTTAATCATTGCCGATTTCACGTCTTCATAGAAGCTTTCAACTGAAGCGTAATCATGGCTGGATGTAGGCGTGTAAGCCTGTACCACCTTCATCTTGTATCTCTTATTCAGTTTAAATACGATACCTACCACCCTTTCAATGATGCTATAGTATTCCTTTATGTTTCCAGCTATGTTTCAATGAATTAGGAACCGCACTCCCACTTCTTTTCTGTCAGCCAATCCCCGATAGCAAAGAACATGCCCATTCTGTAGCACCGTATAGGCCTCATCTCTCCTCCTAACCTCACTGGGCCCTATTACATCCTATTTAACACACTCTAGCTTCTCGAATAGTACAGCTAGATTTCCTTCACTAAATAAGGTTCTAGCGTTAAACGTTGCCAAGTTCAGGTTCCAATGGCGGCCTGTCCGGATCCAGAGATTCCTAGCACTCTCTGCTGCGTTGCAGAACTGACCGCCGCTGTAGCCACTTGCTTCGCAGCTGCTGGGGACTAAGGAGCACATAGTGATGTGTAATTCGCTACTGTAGTTATGCCACCACAGGAAAGTCGGAGAACCATTTTTCATTAGAGCGTAGCCGTGGTCTTCGCATATCTGTACTATCTGTACTATAGCAAACCCTATTGCAGCACTACATTCACTGTCCTGGAAGTCAAGAGGCGCGTTAAAATGACCACGTAATACTAGGGAATGATTGTGAGGCTTACACACTGTAGCCAACTCAGAGCATGGAACTATTGCTTGAGGGTGCACGTACACGCTAACTACAGTCATAGTAACTTTACCAAACTTCACTTTGATTCTAACGAATTTCAGGGAATCTGTTTTTGAAGTAGCCACCAGTGTAGAGGGAATGTTCCTTCTGACACACAGCATCACTTTGTTGCCCCAGGGCGTTCTGCTTCGAACACTGCATGATTGAACAGGCTAAAGTGAGTGGATAATCTTTGTTCCGAAATACACAAAATTTAAAACCCGTTATGAGCGAAGAATTTCTGAAAATTTTGTGGTCATGGTGTGTGAGGAGTATTTTCAAATACTGCGACATTTCTCAAATGTCGTCACTCGAGCAGAGTTGCGTTCTTCACTGAAAATGATACCGCTAAATATTCGTTTCACTCATTTGTAATAATAATAATAATAATAATAATAATAATAATAATAATATAATAATAATAATAATAATAATAATAATAATAATAATAATAATAATAATAATAATAATAATAATAATAATAATAATAATAATAATAATAATAATAATAATAGTAATAATAATAATAATAATAATAATAATAATAATAATAATAATAATAATTTTTGGGGTTTAACAGCCCAAAACCGCCATATGACTATGAAAGATTCTGTACTGGAGGGCTCCGGAAATTTCGACCACCAGGGGTTCTTTAATGTGCACCCCAATTCTGGGCACGCGAGCATACAGCATTTTCGCTTCAATTGAAAATGCAACCGCCGCAGCTGGTATTTGACCGCACGACTTGCGGGCCAGGGGCCGAGTGCCTTCGCTGCTAGAGCACCACGGCAGAACTATCAATTTCAGAAACATGTGCCATGCGTTCTAAGAAGCAAAGGAAGAAGAGGGGTATCGCGGCTGCTTCTTTAGAGGAGCAACTAATCTGCCACAGTCATTCCTCTATTTTAGGGCGAACTGCGGAGTTGCTCCGCCCTCTCGCGGTTGCGCCTCGAGGGATCAACAGTTATTTTTTGCAAAAGAAAAATCAGATTTTGGTTGATTTCACCAGGTTTTTAAAGTGGGGACAGGGATGTGATTAGATGTGTAATTAGTGTGCAAGCATCGCTGTCAGACATAAATTAAAAAAAAATTGAATCACTAACCTTTTTTCACCGCATCATTCACTGTTCATATCGCATGTCATCGAACAAATATGTCACATATGCAAGCCCCACTCAGACCAGAAGCAATCACACCCTTAACGTTTCCCCGTATCATCCCCGCACCACAGACACGTTCAAATATAGTTTTTTTCCGCGAACAATTGAGCGTTGGAATTTGTTTCCTGGCCACGTGCGCTCTCTTGACTTGCTTACATTTCCTTCTAAAATACAACTATTGTAAACTACGTACATGTACCGCTTTGTTTCCTTTCCCCCTTTGTACAAGTGCACGCTTGTACTTAGATGTGTATATTAGGTCGATCTTATGTAACCCTTTACCATGCCGCTAAAACTGTACACTTCCTTTTATGTTGACTTTCGAACACCTGGTTTCGTCGTTACTGTGTTTTCTTTCTTTCTTTTTGCTCTTGTTTCATTATTGAACTTGTTCGATGTACGGTTTTGTGCCATGCACCCACTCCTGCTATAGCCCCAAGAGGGGCTGCAGTATGTTAAAATAAAAAAATAAAATAAAAAAAGGGATCTGAACTCAAGGGAACTCAATCAGCATACGCCCATACTAACCACTACACTACACCATTGTATGGCACCATATGGCAGAAACAGGCTTACGTAGAGATCGATGGGTCGTTTGCACACTGCACGAACATTTCTTCAGTGACTCCAAAAACCATAATGCTCTACATCTCAATCGGAAAGAATTTTTTTGCAGTGCGAAGCGAAATACGGAAACAGGAAAAGATAGACTGAGAGGACTTGGTAAAATTCTTTCGTATGCATCACCAACAAGCCCACATTCCCACTCTCGTTTCCTCCTCAGGGAAAAAAGCGCCCCTCCTTGCCGTGCTTTGTGGGAATATTTGCACTCATTTCGTATTTTGGGGAAGCAAAACGCTCTTTTCGGGGTAGCTGCGCAGTTACTCCTGAAAACTTTTTTAGAGTGTACTGCAGTAGCGCGGCTAATTGGGCTAGTTGGCGTTGGTTCATTTTCCCACATAAGTTTTTATTACGATGTGCACCAACACTTTAGTGGCGTATTTGCGCACGGAAATGACGTACAAAAATACGCACGATCAGAAGACAACAAAAAAAAAGTTCTGAGAATAGGGGTCGAACCCACGACCTTCGGGTCCATGATCACATATTCTGGGCATGCTACCCACTGCACCAAGGTGACATATTTTGCAAGCTTTCGAGACACACTTTTGATATCCACCATTGCCTTCTCGCAGTTCCTGGTAATGTGCAGTAATGCATCGTGACAGTGAAAATCACGTTTAGATCTTTCAAGGCGTCGTGTTTAAGAGTCCGTCACATTCGGTGCCTTTCTAATACCATCAATGCATTTTTTTTCAACGCCTTAACACGCACACAGGTGGCGACCTTACCCCAAGTGTAGGGGTAACTGAAAGCATCCATCCATACCAAAATAGCATTGCGACGCCAAAGGAGGCGACACCCCCTGCTAATCCACCACTGGCTTCACCTGACTTTATCTCCGCGTTTCAACTTACGCTTACTGCACAAACAATCGTGGCTAGACAAAGGAAAGTGAGACACGTGTTGCTTTTTCCCTGGTTGGGCCGAGGTGTCAACAACTCCAACATGACGCGAGCAGACGATCTTAACCCATGTTCGCTGTCCAATCAATCACGCTCTTTTGGCTGTCACATGACTTTCTCTCGTTCCACTTCCACCAATTTTTTCATCTACCACAAGTATTAATGATCATAGACGTTTCTTTAGTTAATAATGGTGGATGTTAGTTGTCGGGATAGAAATGTCTTACTATGCGCCAACATGGATGCATCCCCGTTATGCGGTGCTATAGTATTCGAACACCAATAGGCATTCAGCAAGTTTTCCTATATATCACTGTACCGTGAACATAAACGGCTTCTGTAAGGACACGTTTTTCTTAAGTGTTTTACCGACCGAGGCATCAACCATGCTTTTTCTTTTTTAACTGAATAAGGCACGCGCACATTCACGGAAACAAGAAGGAAAAAAAAACGGGTGTGTTTGCATTTTTGCATCTTATTATCCGTGTTTTTTTGGTGGAGTCATCTGTAGTGAAAACATCGTCCATTTGGGAGAGGGGGAATGCGTTTATCATTTATTTGCTGATTTACGCGTGTAAGCTGGGACATAGGTTTTTTATTCTGCGCAAGCAAATGTCGCAGAAACGGCTCCATTAAACGTCACTCTTTGTTTGCGTACATTACAGCCTGGAATATTTCTGATGAAGAAGTCAATGGCATCGTCCTTCTACAGTGCTATCATACTTCAAATACTCGGTGCTGCCAAACGAGGTAAGAAAATGACGGTATCTTGTATAAAATAGCTCAGCGTTAGACAAAAACTGATCGCACGAGGGTTTATCATCCACATGTGGATTGCTTTCATTCATAACAACACTTTTACTGCAGAAACGCCCTTTCACAGCCTTTTTTTATCTTTTGCATTGGTCACGGCTCTGCAGGCAATGAAGGATTGTACAGCGTACAGCCTACGTGTCTACATAAATTAACTGAGAGCGTATAAGCTTTTCAGTGAACTAAACTTGAGGAAGTGTACTCATTTACACCAACTTCTGGTGCATACGTAATCAGAATCAGTAGAGGCATTATCGGAATGAATAACAAGATTTGAGTAACTGACTGATTTACAAACTGCGCTGCTACAAGACGGTGAAAATGTGGCATCCTGGTTCAGTTATCACGAGCATCCACGCAAATAAGAAAAAAAGTTACAGTTTCGTCACAAGACCGAAGCAATGAATGCGATAACATTACGTCGGACTGTTATACAAAGTAAGGGACGAAATGTAGTGAACGTGGTGGATTGTGCTTGAATTGGCAGTAATTCAGTAACCACACTATCTAAACCAGTGTTGTGAGTAGTCGACTGCGCGAGGAGTCGAAGTTCAAGTTCGGCATTGAGAAACGTGAAAATCCGCTGCTTTTCACGTTAGAGTACATTAACGTTGAAGACTCCAGTGACTATCATCAGCACGTCCTGTGGGCACAACGCACGGAAGTTGTGCAGCAAGAAGTGCATGACGTACGTCCGAAATGTTTATGCTGAGATTTACACTGTTCTGATTACGAAGTCATGCGATTTTTTAACGGCGCAAGAGTCACCAGTAGTCATCTGGGGCAGCAATTTGTGTTTGTCTGCCTGAAGTGATAGTGACGGCGCACATTTTAAAGGGAACTGAATTCCTAGGCATGGAGGGACCAGCCAATTCCGGAATAGTCCTGCACTTGATGCGAGCAAATTTTCCTAGTTGTCTCCGAGTGAAAGTGAAGCCAAAGATATTTTGGACTGCCCCTTTCATCTAACTGTATCTGCTTCAGTGAACCCACCCCTCCGTTGATCAAGCCATCGTACACCCAAATGTTTAGGCAAAAGCAGCATCGCTTGCCCAAGCGAAGCACATGCACTGTTCAGGAATGTTCTCATTTAATTACCAGTAAGCCAGTGGCAAATGATGCATATACATAGCCCACCGTTAGGGCGGTTGACAGTATATGCTCGAACAATGCTTCAATACTGTCATGGTTCTCAAGAACATCTTGCAATGCTACAGGTAGACCTTGCAAAAGCTTTTGATCGTGCTCGTCATTCCTTCCTTTTTTCTCTTCTCGAACAAGCTAATGTTGGCAAAGTTGTTCTTAAAGGCGTTAAATTATGCTATAATGAATGCTCAACTCGTCTGATAGTTAATGGTCAACTCTCCAAGACAGTTTCTATTCGCTCTTCTGTAAAACAGGGATGCCCGATGTCACCTCTTTTATTTGCACTTTATCTAGAACCACTGTGCTTAAGCATAATACAGTCGAGTTGCATTCATGGCTTTAGAATATTAGGCAGTGAGGTTAAAGTATTGGCTTATGCAGATGATGTCGCATTCTTTTGCACAGATAAACCAAGTGTCGAAAATGTGGTATATACTATTGAAAAGTTTGGCGTAGTATCAGGAGCTCGTTTAAATGCCTCTAAAAGTTTAGGACTGTGGTTTGGCTTGTGGGGTAGCACACCGAACTACTTTGCAGGGATTAATTGGACAAGAACACCTCCAACATACCTCGGTGTACCATTGCATGCATATAGATTCAGTGCGCATTACTGGAAGGAACGTGTCCCTAAGCTTGAACGACAGGCCCAGACATTTGTGCCCTATCGACTTTCGATATTTGGGAGAGCTGAAGCTTGCAATACTTTCTTAGCGACAAAACTTTACTATGTATTGCAACCTATTCATTGCGCAAGATTCTATATACAACGCTTTCATCGGATTTTCGCTACTTTCATATGGTCTTCGACTTTTGAGCCCATGCGTCGTGATAATATATTCAAGCTAGTTAGTGAGGGTGGGTTAGGACTAAAACACCCTTATCTATGGCAAATAGTGTCCCGATTCTTCTTTTTTCGAGACAATTCCCATCCTGTAATCCGTTCCTTCTTGCAGGTTACACTTGTTGATTGCTTACCAGATTTAATTGTTTCATCCAACTTCTCCGAACGCCCATGCTTGTGGGGATTCATGCAAGAAGTTTACCTCGCAGTTCAGTTCCTTAAAGCTCGCTTCTCTGTAGAATACCTGTACTCAGAAACGCGCAAGGTGCTTTATAAGGACCTACTGAGTACACTCTTCCCACCTCCATTGTACCGTTCACTGTACGCCAATCTTCCTGGTCACGATGTGTTGAAGCGAGTGCGCAAAATGTACATTCCACCGAATTCAAAAACATTCTTCTATAAACTTCACTCTGAAACATTGGCGGTAAACACATGGTTAGAAAGAAAAGGTATTTTCATTCCGTCTGTTAACTGCCGTCTATGTGATGTGCCGGAAACAATTGAACATTGCTTTGTTAGCTGCAAAGATACCATACTATTTTCGGATGTCCTTCAGCGAGCACTGAAAAAACGTTTCGTCATAAATTCTCACACAATACGTTATCTTCTGCCAGCAACACTTGATGAAGTACCATATGATATGTTTTTCCTCATGGGTTTGCACAGTCTGTGGAAGACACGAATGCAAGAGCGCAATGCAGAGCCCACCACCTCTTCAAGCGCACACTTCATTCAAATGGCTATCCACCTAAAAAACATCTACGACGAGCTAGACTTTAGACCGGACTGGTACTCCGTCTTAGAGAACTGTTTGACCTCACCCCTTTTTTGTTTGTATAACACGATGTGAAGAACTCTTCATGTGAGGAACTTACGCTGTGTTAGCCATTTAGTGTTTATGAGTAACGCTTGAGCGCTTACTTTGGCGATTTGATTGTACTTTTGTTCGCTTGATATTGTCTTTATTGCCCAAGTCCTTTAATAAATACCATGAAAAAAAAATGAGTGGAATGGCCTAGTTGTTTAATGCAGCACACTGAAAACAAGGAGTCCCTGGTTCGAATCTCCGCTCGGTGCCTTAGAATTTTTTTGTTCTGCTTTATTTTTTCTTTGTGGTTTTTATATGCGTATATGTACATACATATACAGATCTGGGACATGATAATGACGGCGAAAATTATGGAGGGTGTCCATATAATTGAATAAAAAACCAAAAGCAGTATTTTGTTAATGGTATTACAAATTATGGGTGATTCCCCAGATGTCTAAAAACGTTTAATGTGAAAAGACGCTTATTCTCTGAAAGGACGTTTATTGTCACTACTGCCGGCAAATTGCCGCACCGAGAGTGTGCGCGTGCCCCCGTGACTTTGATCAACCCCCTATATACTTGTTAGTTTAGGAGATAATGCCCACGTTAAAGAACCCCAGGTGGTCAAAATTTCCGGAGCCCTCCACTACGGCGTCTCTCATAATCAAATGGTGGTTTTGGGACGTTAAACCCCACAAATCAATCAATTAGGAGATAATGCCTCCGTTTATTCTTATTCGACAGCATATTACAAGCACGCCGTTCCATTTCACGCTATTTTTCTGAAAATGCTGCAGGTGAACAACAGACTTCCCTGCTAATTTAATTCAATGTGGCAAAAAAAAAAAAAAAAAAAACTCCTAAGCATTTCCCCGAGGGTGAACATGGTTAAGTGCGAATGCACGGGGTGATGCTATGAGGGGGAGTAAAGTTAAAATCCGTTGGCGACGCTGATATCGGTGTCAGTAACGCGCCTTATATCCAGATGGTAGCGTTGCCTCCAGGACATCCATCGCACGACCCGCTCTCGACGGGAGACTGAGAGAGAAGGCGGGTGCGCGAGAGAGAGGGGTGCGCGCGCAGCTGCAGCGAGCGAGGAGAGCGGAAGTGCGAGCGAAGGGGGAGGGGGACTATCAGCGTCGCGTCCGTGGCTTATTCGGTAGAGCGTCGTGCTGCGGCCCGCCAAGTCCTCTTTCTTTTTTAAAGATAGAGGGAAGACTGCGGACGCCGCCGACGACGGTGGATGGTTTGGGGTCGCTTATAAAGTGTATTCACACCTAATAAAAGCTGCTTACTTCCATCTTCGCGGAGCCACCTCGCATAGTGTACCTGGAGAGAGCTATAAAGAGCGCTGCTAAGCCAGTCTTTTGCGAAACGTACTTTTGCGGGATCTAAAGTCTCAGGCATGGATTAAGAATAAGCTCATTTAAGTTCAACGCGAGCTTCAACGGGAACAATAAATAGGGATCCAGTAACATAATCCTAAAATGTATACATAGCAACACCTGTGAGTGAGCATAAGAACGAACCATTTCGTTTACAGCAGGCGCAAACCACGTAATGCATATTTCACCTAATAATTCCAATCGTTTAACACCAGCATCAGTGATGACCCCGAGGATTTTTGTGCCTCAGTGAAGTAACAAGTAGAAAACTAATCGATGCGCAACAAGCGGAAGAAGGCTGCTTGACTTACGTTCCTTTGTTGAATGACATACCGAATAGTTACATGGTTGCCTTGTGAAATATTTGTTTTCTTCTGCTACATCTATAAATGATTACATTATACCGAATACACTCTGGTGAAGCATGCCAGATAAAACGGAAAAGGAAAAAAGAAATATACATCTTATTAGGTGGGTAATGTAGAGAAAGGCATTGTAGTCACATGATTGTAATCAATTAAAACGAATGTTACCAAAACATTTTTGTTTGTGTAGATTGTTTTTTTTTCGATGCTTAAAAAATCGCCTCTCTTTCAGGGCTTAGCAGTGAAATTTTCAGCGAGATGTCTAAAACCTTATATGGTGCGGAGGTAGAAAGCGCCGACGTGCCTCGAATGATTCAGGTGAGTCTAATCATCTCCCGAAATCTGAATGAAAAAAAAAAAGCATTTGGGTGCACTTTAAAGAACCCCAGGTGGTCGGAATTCCCGGAGCCTTCCGCTACGGTGTCTCTCATGATCATATGGTTGTTCTGGGACGTTAAAACCCACATATCAATCAATCAATCAATCAATCAATCAATCAATCAATCAATCAATCAATCAATCAATCAATCAATCAATCAATTAGAAAGCAGCCTAAACATTTATGCATCCAAGCTTCGGCAAGAAAGCTCCTATAAAACTCACAAAGCTTTCGTTAAATTTAAGCAATTACAAAAAAAAAACATGGATCACCATTTTATCTTTGGATCTGTTATAACCGAAAGTGAATTGTTTGTTCACATAGGTAGTGTAGTGTGAAAGCTTATCTAATGTGTTTGGCATTGCTGTCTAATGATGTCTATTGGTTTTCGGCAAAATGGCATCAACAAGCACATAAAAAAATCCCAGTTTCGCCGCATTAGCGAAGTAATGAATGCCATAGCTACTAATTGGACTGTCAGGCGAAAAATGGCAGGCAGCTGACAATTTGCACCACACTGCTCAATGACAAACGACGCACCTAAAATCACGCATACGGGACGTGTGAGAGCTAAGAACTGTCACAGTTCGTTATTTTTCAGCAGAGCCAGGCCCGTAGCTAGGGATTTTAAAGACGATAGTCTTTCTTGGCGACCTTCGACGCAAAAGTTTGGTCTGTCTGTCTGTCTGTCTGTCTGTCTGTCTGTCTGTCTGTCTGTCTGTCTGTCTGTCTGTCTGTCCATTTGTCTGTTTCTTCATTCTTAACGGCACCGGGTACTTGAAACGGCCGACCCCATCCAGAGCGCCCACCAATGTTGCTCAATATTTAGCGTTCATATTTGTTCAATTGTCAAATAAAAAGCAATTATTGCTCATGTCTGGAGCACCATAACAACACGTTTATAATCTGCATGTGCGTCTTTTACTAGAAAAGGCATACATAAGTAATTTTAAGGACCGTAGCGCTATCACGCTGCACTGACTATACAACGCTTGCACGAAAAGACGAGTGTTTCCAACGCTTTGCTAAGACGAGATGGTAATGACAACTACCAGTTGCCTTGCGTTGTACACCTAATCGCCTCTTAGATGGGCGCGCAGACCCATCTCAAAGCCACGCGCTTCGTTTTCCAATAAAACTGCCAGATGGCGCTCTTGTCTCACGTGTGACGTCACCTGATGCGCTTGTTCGCCTCCACTGCACGCTCGAGGCACTCTAACGCCGCGTCTCAGAATGCCATTCAACGATATTTTTGCGCAGAACACAAATAAAGGCTTTGTTCACTCTCTCCACACGCAAGACTATCGTCTTTCGACGAAATTTGCACATTAACATGCAGATACGGGGCCAATTTTTTCCCGGAACAAGGAGGGGGCGGGCACTTGTTGAATGCCTTCAAAAGCACTATTTTTATAATTGGTAACCGGTAGAAAACTCCCTACATCCAAAAAATATATTTTTTCTTGGGGGGGGGGGGGGGGGGGAGGCGACATTGAGGGCATCCTGCTCTTACTGGCTACGGGCTTGAGAAGTACACTGCTTTCGTAAGCGCGGTCGCAGCAGCGAGCTTCGTGTGCTCTGTATTTTCAACTTTCCGGGGAAGGCACTAGAAGTATTCCACAAACAGCTTCTGATACAACATCAGCGCACGGCCAATTACACCCTGTAGAAGAAAGTATAGATAATATAGGTAAGGGGAGTGCGCGCATCGTAACGAGCGCTGTGACGACCTTTAAGTGCGCCCTTAGTGCTATCTCGCAAGTGATAATGAGAACTGACTGAAGTGCCACTAGGTTTTCCGTAGCACCAATGGTAAATGATGTACATAAATGGCGCACCGTTAGTAAGCCGAACAATCTGCGAATTGTATCTAAGTCGTTTAGTGCCACGCGCTGTGGAGGGAGGGGTCGCGGGTTCGATTCTCGATAACGGAGCGTTTTGTTCTGGTCCTATTAAGATAGTAATTGCATGGAGAGTCTCCATCAATTTTTTCGTTCCTTTGCCGTCATGTTACGTATATAGTCCAAACTGAAAAGATCCCCAAGCATATCGTGCGTTTTACCCGTGGGTAAGGGGCCACAGTAGGGGCCGACGAAGTCATCTGCTACGGAGATCGAACGAGCCGGCCCATATTAGTCGTTCTGAAGGGAATGCGACAAGATCTTCCCGCCTGTTGGACTGAGATTGGAATGCTTAATCAGACAGGAAACGCCCCACTCGTGTTTAACAACCGTGAAAAAAATTGGGGGACCCTTAAGCTTCGCCTTTAAGAGTTGGGCGAGATCCAACCCTTAGTGCACTCTTCAATGGCGAAGTGCATGCTTAATAATATGTTTTTTTAAACACACACACACACACACACACACACACACACACACACACACACACACACACACACACAAATGCGCGACGTATCTATAGGAATGTTGCAGGTTTTTTATCTATAAAAATATTGTGCAGAGATATAGACACATGGTCCTATATTAGAAACTGCGCGTAGGCGTGACACTTGTATGCGTAAATGGTCGCATTGTGTCATCCGTCTTGCGTTAGTTATCTGGCAGTTGTTCGACTTTTTCTTCTGGAAACCTCTTCAGGCCAACTGCAACAAGCATGACCTTAAGGTCGGTGAAATGGCAACTGCAGTACTTCACTTCTTTAATGGTGTCGTGGGAATGAAAAGCTAAATCAATGCAAACGCAAGGTTTGTTGAATCAATGCAAGGTTTGTTGAAATGGCATTTCCTTGAAGGGGCATAGAGAGTCTCACAATGCCTCACATATGGCGTCACATTATCTAGCGTTTGCTGTTTGCTTGATCAACGCCCCTGGAACAGCAAGGCATATTTTCCGCTAGATGGACATAGTTGTCTGTTTTTAGAGCTGTTTGAAAGTTTCCGTGTGTTTTAGCGGCGTTGGCTGCACTATCCTGGCCTTTTTTGACGTAGTTTGATGGCCTCCATAATGCGCCTACAAATCGCCGAATGGGCTTGTTTTGGTCGTGACACCTGCCGAACAAAATGCGTTAAGGACAGTCCTTCCACTACATGGGTTTATCTAGTGTTTTGTACCGACGCAGCAGCAAGTAACACCGTAGCATTGTGGTCACTCCACTTTCGGCTTCGGTGGGAGACGGACGTGTGATGGCTCGCTCCGTGCGAGGTGCTTCGGCGGCCGCTGCTGGCCGCGGCGTTAGGTTCCCTTCTGCACCATCGGATTACCGGTTTTTGTTGCCTACATTGCCGTCGGGAGACAGTATGGAAGTGTGTGTGTTTCTGCACGGGGATTTGGAAAAAAGACCATACCGGTTGGAAGACTTTCAGGCCCCGTTGGAAGAAGTGGGACTCATCAAGGCGATCACTGGCATTGGAGCCTTCCAGATGAATCACATCTGGCTGGTGAAGATGCGAAGCAAGGATGACAGAGATGCATTACTCAAAACAGGTGGACTCCGAGTCAAGGGTGGCTTCTGTGCTATCATCGACCCTATCCAACATGATGTAACCCTGAAAATCCACTGGGTTGACTTTGCGGTCTCGAATGAGAGCATTCGAGAAGCGTTAGGTGAGTTAGGTGAAGTTCCGGAGGTTTCCAACGACAACTGGACCGTCGCGGGCTTTGAACACGCAATATCGACGACGAGGGTGGTGCGACTGAAACTGAAGGAATGCGTGGTGCTAGAAGACTCGCCGCACCTTTTTAAGATTGAAGGGGGCATCGTCCTTCTTGTGGCCCCGGGTCGGGCACCGCTTTGCCTAAGGTGTCACATGCAAGGACATATACGACTAGACTGCCAGACTCCCCGCTGTGGTGTATGCCGAGCGTTTGGACATGAAAGTCAAGATTGCGTCAGGAGTTATGCCAGAGTTACGAAGACCGTGCTGCCAACAGACGACGCTCAAGATAATCTAATGGACGCCGAAGAGGCTGAGAAGTTGGCCCCTGGCAGCAACGCCATGGGACCCGACGCCACGGTTCAGGCAACTGGAGAAGAGACAGCCGACGCGACAACGCAAGATGGCAAAGACTCAACGAAAGAATCCGAGGAGTTGGCCGCTACAGGCGGCCAGCAGGACATTCAAGAATCGATGGAGGAAGACATGGGTACCAGTGGCGAGATTGCTACCCCAGAAGCCAGCACAAAGTCTCCGGAAGCGACCACGGGACGCGGCAAGCGTTACCGAGTGGAGAGCACGGAACGCAACCCGAAACGCCCGGAGCGTCTGTGGCATCGCGTCACGGGCGCTAAGAGTAAAAAAATTGCCCGCAGCTTCCCTCGGGGGAACACTGAGGAGGATGCGGACCATATAATTGGTTAACGGGGTGTTAAAGTGCGACTTACTTGGGTCGATGGCTAAATTGGTTAACGTGGTTGTGAAATGGGGTGTTAAATTGCGACTTACTTGGGTCGATGGCTAAATTGGTTAACGTGGTTGTAGGAAGGGGTGGTAAATGAGTGAACACGTACACACGTATGCGAAAGGGCGGCGCTGGTCGAAGGGACGTCGATCATTGTGTTTGTGGATTCGTTGGAATTCATTTCACCGCGACCTTGGACGTCGACGCGCCGTACAAACCAACCGACGAGCGGCAACTGAGCGAGCGAGCGCCGACCTTGAGTATATATACAGCACGACGGCGCATGCACTGTCAGCTGTTGAATGTTCTCGAAGCGCGACGCCACATGCGCGTCCACTGGAGAATCAGGAGAATTGTAGATGTCGAACGCGGTGTGTAGAGGAGGAAGGGTGCACAGATGGTGGAGGAGTGAAGCACGCGCGGTGTGTAGAGGAGGAAGGGATGCACAGATGGTGGAAGAGTGGGCGACGGCGCGACGGCGCATGCGCGCGCGTCAGCTGTCGAATGTTCGAGAAGCGGTGCGGACGGCGCGGACGGCGCACTACAAGGCGCGAGTATAAGATGCTCCGCATCTAAAAATA